GTTGCAACATGACTTAAGTAAATAAATTTCTTATGATGCTAATTTTTAGCTTAAGTCATTGTTGATTATGACATATAATTTGTGTAGACATATTTGTGCTTTTGTGCTAATATTTTCTTGAATATGTTTTGGATGATAAATATGTCTTCCTTGAGTTTTTAGTTTTTATATGGCCTAAAATTTGTTTTGGCATATTCTTTGGTGATTTTAAAAAATATATATATATGAATATTGAATATGTCTTCTTTGTGTTCAATATTTTAAATGATCTAAAAGGACTCATGTTTTGCACATTTGATGAGAACTTTAGCTTTAGTGTCAATATTGTGATATTTGATGCTTAACTTTATATATGACCTCTAGCTTAAGTATATATATCTTCCTTGCAATTAACAACTTGTTCTTAATGAATAAATTTTCCTTTGCCTATAATGACTTAGAATATGAAATTGTTTTCTAACAATTGGTATAATTTTTTATCAATTGATTTTCTTGGTGCTTCTAATGAAAATCTTTTGTCAAGAAAATTGTCTGAATCTATGCTAGGAGAACTTGAAATGAGCATGAATGAGCCTACATTTTTAGAATTTCAAGTATAGCAAGCAAATCATGTCATCCTAATCAATCAAGCCTAGTTTTGCTCAAATGAAGTGGATTGGAGAATTCAAAGCCAAATGAGCACAACAACAAAGCTTGACATGGATTGAGGTAAATGTATCAACTTTATGATATGATGTATGAGTTTAAATACATATACATACTTGTTTTAATATGTGCAAATATATGATTTTTGTGATTGAAGATATGAACACGTTGCACAAATTAATCACCAAGCTACTTGATAAAATTTATCTTAATATTTTTTTTAAAGCTTGGATTGATTAATTCACCTTCATTAATATTCATGCCTAGTTCTTGAATATTTTGATTACTAGTTTTTAATGCATGAATATTTTTTTGAATCTTTGAACATGAATATGAGTTGAATATATTGATTTCTTGATCTTTCAATTGCCTTAACTCATAGATTATGAATTATAAACTTGAAATTCACATACATGTTCATTGATTGACATTGAGATGGCATGTACCAAATTGTGCCTAAATGCTTGCATTTTTTTTTTGGTATATTGCTTATATATTTTGCATATGCTTGTATGATTTTGATTGAAATATATAATTGAATACTTGCATATGTTTGAGTTAAGTACATTGTTATGCATTGAAATAATTTGGATTATATTTGAATAATTATACTTTTAATATTTCTTTGCTATAGCTTATGTTTTCATCATGTTTGGAAAATGCTTGAATAATCCTTATTATGACATGATGATAATTGAACCTTATTGCTCATTAGTATTCATGCTTTATTATATACATATGAGCTTTTGGGCTTTTTGTTTGGATAGGATAACTTATGAAAGATTACTATTTATGCATATATTGAATGAATCTTTCATATGCTTAAAGTATGTGTGCTCTATGATAGTTGTTGAATAAAATTTCTAATAATTGGTAACAATTGGTATCAAAATTACTAATTTTTTTTTTTAACTTTCATAGACACTTGTTTATGTGCCTATCATTGATATAGCTTATACCTTTTATGCAAAATTGTGTGTTTCTTAAATTGATTAATCCTTATTTTGAAATGAATAGCAATATAGAATACAATTTTGCTTGATTTGTTTTATGATAACAATTGGTATGCTTATTGATGACATATCTTTAACAATTGGTATCATTAACAATTGGTATGAGCTTGTATGCATGTGCTTGAATTTATGCTTAATTGCTATTGATGTTTTAAGTTCTAAGCACATCTTATGATAATATGATTTGTGAGTAGATTGCATATCATTCATTATCCTTTGCTCATAAATTTCATGTAGTAAATATGATGACTTGTGCTAAAATGCTAAAATTGGATACACTTATGTTTTTGTACTTGAATTCATGTATGTAAACTTTATTGTGTATATTATACTTGATTACATGCATTCAAAATACTCTTGATATTATTGGTATCAAGCACTTTGTCCCTTGCTTTGAATTGATCTCTCTTTCTTTTGAAATGACAAAAAGGGAGGAATTTAGAGATATTTTTTCTTGTATGCTTATAGCAATAGATATATGAGCTTAAACATTTAGTATAAAGAGCATAAACAAAAAGAGGAGAAATGTTTTATGAATATATTTGTTAATGATGCCTCTTTGTGTTTATTTGCTTATTAATTTGCTCATGCTTTTTTGTTATGACAAAAAAGGGAGAAATATCATATGAACAAATTTGCTTGTGCTTGACATGCATATGTTTAATTATGCTTATTTGATATATTTGATTAACATATGTTTGTTGAATTGTGTTAGATTAAGATGCAAAAATTGAGGGGGAGTTTTGCCATGCATTGTTTAAGGGGGAGTTTTCCAAAATATTTTTCAAAACCTTATGTTTCAAAGAAAGTCTTTTATCAAGTAAATTTATCTTTAAGTTTTGTCATATCAAAAAGGGAGAGATTGTTGGCCTTGAATAGATCCTTATTTTGAAATGACAAAACATTGAAGCTAAATAAACTTGTCAAGATTTTGAAAAAGATTTATTTAGTACATATTCTTAAATTTTATATTTTGGTGCTAAATAAATAATATGATTTTCAAAGATTAAACAAACCTTTCTTGGTGTCATATTTCTCAAACCAAATCTATCTTTAAAGATTATTTTATTTGAACTTAAATAAAAGTCCAATTGTTGTTTTTAAGTGAACTATTCATTTTGGACTTAATACAATTTTGATAATATTGGTTTTGAGAAATAGATTAACTTAAAAAAGCTATTTTACAATAACAAAGTTTTTCAACATTGAACTTATTTTATTTTTCTGTATTAATTAATAAAGTCTTAATATTTGAATTTTATATGATTGGAAAACTATTTGAGTCTACTTTCTAATGGATCAAACAAAATCCAAATCCAAATTTTTTACGAAAAAATTTTGAATTTTTACTAAATACTCTGCAGTTGTCAGAAAAACTGCACAAGACATAAATTTGAAAATTCACTATAATTCGTACACAGTGAATTAGGTGATGAAATTTATAGATAGAAAGCCCTTTAAGTTTATTTCTAAATCTTCAAACAGTTGTGTAATTTTGATTTGTATAACTCAAGATATGATCAAATTAGTGAGTAGAGTACAGAATAGGAGATAACCACCTAGCCACTAACAGGATCGATCCCCCTCATGGAGGGGATCGATCAGGTCATGATTTTCAAAGGCAATTTGGTTCAAAACATGAACCAATCAATCCCCTCATGGAAGAGATTGATCGGTTCTGGGTGGAAACACTCCAACGTCTACTTTTTGGTGCTTCCAACAGCTATTTTCTTATCCAAACACTTTCCAACGGCTACCACTTCAATTTCTCTATAAATTGGGCACTCCAACACACCAAGAAGATTGATGAATCAAGAGAGAAAGAGTCAAGAACAATATTTTCATTCTTTCAGATAATCAAGAGTTTTTAGAACTTCAAAGTCTTTAGCTTTGTATTTATTGTATCTAACCTATTTTTGTTGTTCATTTATCATTCTCTTATCTATACCTTTGTGTACTTCAACTTAGCAAATACCCAACCTTTGTGAGGTTCTTAGAGTTTGCAAAACACTTCATTTTTTTGTTTTGTGAGTTTATGAGCTTAAGGGAGAGGATAACCCTTAAGAGTATATTGTGTTGAGTTTGTAAAGCTTAGAGAAGCTTGGTTGTAATCTTCAACACTTATAGTGGATTGAACTCCTTGGCAAGAGAGGCTAAGGGAGAGGACGTAAGTGCCTAAGGAAGGACCGAATCTCTATAAATCGCGGTGTTATTTTCTCTATTTATATCTCTTATTTACTTTCAATTATTGTGTTTAATTGTTTAGTAAAATTTGTGCTTATTGAATATTGTTTTTGAAAACTTCATTAAAACCAATTCACCCCCTCTTGGTTTATTCCAAATCTTTGAGCTAACAATATTAAATATTTCATTATAATTTAACATTAATCTAATAGAAAATGAATATAGTTAACAAAAATCAATTAATTGAATATGAAATTTAATTCAATTAATTCATATAATCATTTTTAAGAGATAACATTTCATAAGTTTAAAATTAAATTACTAACATTTATAGATCTTGTATTGTAAATTAAAAATTTGAAATCTTTAAATCTCAAGTTCAAATTACATCAAATAAGAATTGTGTCTAATTATAAATTGATTTATTGATCGAATCGTAATTTAAAAATATTAAAATTTAAAATTGTTAGACATATAATTTCATAAAAGAAAATTTTTATATACAAGTTCAAAAGCTCCAATTTTATTAAGGTTTTTGGGGCGAAAATGATTCCATTGGTGAATATATAAAATTAGAAACATAAATAAATAGGGAAGCAGACAAAAACTATATGGTGCACAATGGTGGGTACATTTTGATGCATTATCTTCTCTGTCGTAAATACATAGAAGTCAAAATGCCAGCGAGAAATTAAAGAAGCCAAATGAAATAATGCTGAGTCGTGGAATATAACCCAAAAAAACATGTGACCAAATCATGCACAAAAATCATTGAAGAAAAAATCAATATGGAATCAGTCAAATTATCACTGCTTCATAGCCTAGAATTTTCATGGAGTTTGGTCTTCAGAACTAATTTCGTTAAAACATCACATAAAATTGACATCTAACTGTATCAAGCCCTATTTCTGTACTAGGTGACTTGCCAACTTTGACTATTTGGATTGAAATGGCTCTCTCGTTCGTATCTAAAAAAAGAAAGTAAATTTTGAATTGAGTTGGTTTATATAATTAATTTTTTTTAAAAAAATTTAAATTTAATTCAATTAATTTTAAAATATAATATTTAATAAATTTAAAATTTAAATCTCAACTACTATTAAATCAATCTTCACTTACAAAATTTACAATTTTTTATTTCCATAGCTTTTTTTTTTCTGTTCTGTAAAGTGACTGGTAGAATCATGAAAAACTGAATCTTGAACCTGTAAATTTTTTGTATATGCTGTTACCTGAACAACATTGCTGACCAAAATGTAACAAAACAGGCAACACCAACAGTAATGCAAACCAAATCAAATATCCTTTCTTTCCTTTGGATTCTTTCTTTCCTCTGCCTTTTCCTCTCCTCAAACTCCACATGCTTCTCTTTCCCTTCATTTCCATTCCCTTTCTTCCTCCTCCCACTCTCCATAACCCCTTCCAAAATTACCAAACTGTCCTTCCCATTCAACCCTTTCCCTTCCATGTCCTCCATCACCATACTCACTTCCCTCACGTGCGTCTCCCCTCCTTCTTTTCCCCCGCACGTGACCACTACCCTACAGTCCACTAACTCTCTGGATGATCCCCGCCGTTCTTCTTCCCCCATCACCATCCCAAACCGCACCTGCACATCACCCGTCAACCAGTGCCGTTGCACAGAAACAGCTCTCCTACTCGACATATTCACCGCCTTCTTCCGGGTCGGGTCGATAATTATCCAGCTTAAACTCAAGTTCTCCTCCAAATGTTTTAGCCACGTGTCGTCTTTACTGCCACCAAAATACTTTATCGAAGTCGGAACGGAATCTTTCAGGTCAAGTAAATCCACCCGGAACGGTGAACACAAAAACCAGCTGCTTGACGTTTTCGTTTCTTCAACTTTAGAATAAATAATTTTGTCTTGATAGTAAATATCAACGGCTGAGATTAATTCCGTTGGCAGAGTGAAAGAGTTGACGTCGAGCCTTGACAGCTGGGGATCGAGAAACGGGAAAGAATCGGAGAAGAATGAACGGTGACCGGAGGGGAAAGTGGAGATGATTTCTAGCACACGAGCGTGATTAACGGAAGGCCACGTGGAAGAACAAATGTTTTGCCAGAGATTTTCTTGGGTAGAGAGAACGTGTAATTGAGAGGAAGCACAGGCGAGGGAGGCGAGGGAAGGGCCGTCGAGTCGGGTGAGGATATGGGATTGGATGATGTCGGGATGGATGGTTGAGATTTTGTCATTGCTGGCGTTGCCGCCTTGAGCAACGGCCGTGGATGGTGTTGCTTTCATTTTTATTTTTTTTGGAAATGAAGAGGATTTGTTTGTTTGAGTTTGAGACAGAGAGAAAGAGTTGAAGGAAGGCTTTTATAGGAGATTGGAAACTTTATAATTCAAACAGTCAAAAACGGACGGTTGTTGGGAAATATCCTGTTTACTTCACTCTTACTCTGTTTCTGTCATGAAAAATTGAAAATCTCAACGCCTTTCGTTTCTTTATATAAATATCTTTGAAATGAGTCGAGGAACTGAGACAAAAGAGTGAAACTAAATAGAGACGCCAACGAGGAAGATATAAAATGGATAAAGTTTTTTTTTTTTTTAGATTATATATTTTTTTATATTTTTATTCAATGAGTACTTTAAATTTATTTTATTTTTATTATCGTATGTATTTAATGAATATGAATTCGTTTTTGCTTTTGTATTTGATAAAAATTTAGTATTTATCTTTATTTTTATTAAAAAAATTGAATTATCCATAAAATATAAATAAAATTAACATCTTTGAAAGTAAATGATTACTCTATTCTTACCCCCATTATTTTTGTTTTTAATATTCAAGAATTTAACAAAAAATATTAAAAAAAATAAAAAATGCTTTTAATTGGTAATTAATTATATTTATCATATGTGTAAAATAAATTGAATAATTCTTTTGTTTCATTGAATAAGGATATATTATCTACTAATAGCAAAATTCAAAGATTTAATTTAATTAATTCTTATATTATATGATAATTATTTTTTTAAATCTTTCAATAATTTTAATATAATTAACTCAAATAATTAATTTTCATTAAAATTTTAAATCAAATTAATTTCAAACGCCCAACAACCCAATTCTAATCTTTAAATATAGAGAAATACTAACACTGGTTTAAGACCAATGGTTTCTTAACATTATTTTTTTAAAAAAATTTTCGTGGCAGCTTAAATCTGGCAACTTGATCTGACTTGGGCAATGGGCCACAGCTTTTACGTGTCCTTATATTAGTCGACAAAACCGAAAATGGGTGGCTTCGCAGTCGAAAAAGCAACAAGTTGGCACGTCTGTTTCACATGGACGTGGAGATTAAGTCGTGACATTCAATCTTTATCCACAAATTTATTTAGTGATTTTTATTATTTCCTTTTTTGATTGAAAAATATATAACTTTGTTGATTTGGATAAAAATTAAACTTACATCAATAAAATATTAATTTAGTGGTAAAAAGAAAATTTTAAAATTTTATTATGTTAAAATTTTATTATTTGTGAATTTAATTATTTAATTAAATTATAATTTATTAATTGATTATTCAATGATATAATAATTGATTATATAAATATAATACTTAATTATAAATTTGATTATAAGTGTAACTTCAAAAAAAATTGTTTACGTTATGTTTGTATACATATAAATAAAGTAAAACAAAATATTTAAAAAAAAAAGATACATGCATATCTTATTTGGATAGTTAAAATTAATAAATAAAAGAAATATTAATAATTATTATTTAGATAAACAGTGAAAAATAAAGAAAATAATTTATTATAATATTTTTTTTAATTATAATTTTTTTATAGAGTAACATATAATATATAAATATTTTTTGTACTACCTAATTTGTATAAACAAAATTTTTTAAACAAAATTAAATATGTTTAACATGGTAAAACATATTAACTAGTTATTGATTTATTTTTAATTTTTTATTTAATTCAGTCTTTTAATTTATTTTGATCATAATTTAGTTTATTTTGTTGTTAAGACTTAAAAAATCATAAAATATTTATAAATTATGATATTATATAAAATACTCATAAAAATATTATTTTTGTAAGAAATGTCAGTTATATAATTAAATTTAATGTCATAATAAAAATATAGATATAATAATCTTTTATAAAAATAAAAAATTTTCAACTTTTCTTTCCTTAAGTTTCCCCCAAAATTAGGGTATTGAAAGAGTGAGAATTATAAGAGAAACAAAAAAAAAATTGAGTTTTTACCTCTTTTTTTCTTTAAATTAAAATTTTATTCAAAATTTTTTTTTTTTTATGTTTCTATTTTTTCTTTTTCTTTCCTTCCTCTCTCCTCAATCTAAATATAATGTTAGCACATTTTTATTTGGAACCCAATTAATTTCACATGTTTCATGAGGTTTTCAAAATTGGACACTTATTGCACACTCTAAAATGATAAATTCCAAGATTATTTAATTTATAGATGCATGAAAGAAAGATATACATGAGTAATGAATCCAACAAAAAATAAAGATAAGATAAACAATGGTGATGTATATATATAACTTTATTATTAATGAGCACCAATAAAAAAAGTTCAATATTTGTCAAATTTTCTACACTATATATCCCATTTTTCTTTGACCTAATTAGTTCTTCTTTTTCAATGGAAGAGTGCCACCACTCTGTCAAAAATCACAATTATAAGATGGAGGAAAAGGACCAACTCACCAAGATGGTCCATTTATCTTAATTACATTGGACAACAGGGATTTCAATTACACTTACCATGAATCCAACCACTCTAGTGCTTTAGCCTTGGTTTCTTTTTAATTTATTTTACTGAACTCCTCTTTATTGACAATCATAATATGAATCAAAGTGGATTTTTTTAATTTATTTTAAAATTATTTTTTTATAAGTAAGTCGTAATTTACAGATAACGAAAGAAAATACATGTATTAAAATTTAAATTTCAAAATTGTTGTGTCATTTTCACAAATTAATTGCGTTAAACTTTAAATATATATGATTAAAATCATGACATTGATGTTTGATCTTTAATTAGTCAAGGCATGCTGGGTTAGTTAGTGGAGGTAAACCAATTTGTCAAAGAGTTCAAATAACGTAAATATATGGAAAAGAAGAGTGATTAATTAAATATTTTATGATTAAAACAAGGGAAAAGGGATGGAAGAAAAAAATATTTTCTTTGCACCATTTCTTTGTTTAAGAGGCAAGAAAAAAAAATGAATTTATACTTTCCCTTCCCCCCAAATTCAATCCTTGTAAATGTGAGAAGAAATTATTCATTCAACTTAAATTAACAATTTTATTTATAATTTTACCCTTAACATAATTTTTCCTCTAATTTTTCAGTTTTCTTGCCAACACAATAAAAAAAAAATTAGTGTGTGTTTGATTCATGAAAAAATTTAAAAATAAATGAAAACATTAATTTGGTTAAAAAAATAAAAATAAAAATATTTTCATTAACCAAACGCAACTTAAGTTTTTTTTTTTTTTAATAATTTTTTCTCTCTCCACTTTCCTTCTTTCATATCAAACATATTGAAAGTGTACGAAAAATATTTTTTTTTCTTCGAAAAAGGATATTATTACATACTTAAGTCACTCGAAACTTTTCAAGTCTAACCAACATACATTTCATCTATGTTTAACAACCAATCAAGAGTATAAAATCAAGAACTTGTCTAAACAAACAAAAGGAAACAAATTACGCATTATTAGTTTGAAACATATCGCAAAAGGAACGGCAAAAGCTAGCTAACGAGTTCTCTCTTCCTAGTTTAGCCAAGTGAATGATACAAAGAGGAGCAAAGGTTGTGTTATTGTCTCCATGACACAACCAAGAACAGTTTTTGTGCCTTATAAATTAAAACTTTTTTTTTTTTTTTCTAATTTTTGGCAGGCAACTTTAGATCAACGCAGAGGACTTTGCTGGAAGCTCTTAACCGATCAATTTGCAAACATATATGAAAAGGGTCTTTGCTCCTAATAGATGATATGGTTACCATTGTGCCTGGTGAAGAATGGAATGCTTTTGTGTTGAACTACTTTATACTTTATTGGTGGGTTAATGCTTAATTTTCCACAAACCCAAATTTAAAATTGCTCCAAGCCCTTCAAAATCACTCACATGAATACATTGAACAAGAATGAAGCAAGTTACAAAATGGGATGTAAATATTCCTCTTTTTTGCTATGTTAACTCGATTAAAATCATATATAGAAGCCACTGCTTAAATTTTAGGCTTATTGTTTTTTAGCCTAAAGCAGCTTTCTCCCCACTGCATCCAATAACTACAAGAAAACCAGTTTCTTTTCAGCTACAAAAATTGATCTACTTCTTGAATTAATGCTAAAACATACGTATAAATGCTGTGAGAGACTGCCTTCTTTTAATATTTGTGACTATAGTCAACAAAAACTGTATAACAATTTACCAAGAGAAAAGAAAATCCCTTTAAAGCTTACCCCTTTTGTTTTAGTTCCATTTACCACCTAGTTTTCAATATCTATTTGATGCATGTCCGGCCGGCCGACGAATTATATGTTCCTCAGTCTCTGATCGTCCATTGATTGGAACAAATCTCTCAATATAAGCAATAAGCTGCATTGCATTCTGATATGCATGGATACCAAGATTCTTAAGCTCTCTGGGGCGGGATCAAACAGAACTAGTTCATGATTTGAGCCCTCAAGAAACAATTCACCATTTTTCCAGAACACCAATGGCCTCTCAACTCTGGAAACAGATTCATACTGAATTGCCTAGACCACGATCCATTCAGAACCCACAAACCAAAAGACTTTTCAGTTCCCTCCCTTGGGTAAACAATAGCAGTATGGCACCAAGCGATCCATTAAATTCCAGATGTTGCAAATAATATTCCGCTAAAGACCCACCAACTTTCGTTAGCCATATCAAATGAAAGAATAAGGTAATCAGAATTCCCAGTTGCCTGCCATTAATAAAATCCATTTATGTACTTGTTTAGAAAAGGAGAACCACAAGGACGTGCCTCAGCAACTGAAATTACTTATTCGATGTATGCTATATTCAATAAACATAACAAATATTTAAAATACAGAAAAATTACTTATTTTGCAGACCGAAATAAGAAGATAGAAAGAAAAGAGAATCGAATTTATACATGGAGATTCAATGTTCAATTTAAGGAAAAAGAGTGTGGGACAGATTTGTGCTACAAGTTCAGCAAACAAATTGTAACTCATTTTGCATTACACATAACTAATGATCAATTAACAAACTAAAGCAGTATCCTTGAGTTAAACCCTTCTGCTTTCTACAGCTACCACTGAGAAAGGGAGCTACTCAAAACACAATACACAACAAAACTCAAGCTAAAACTGCTTCATGAAATGTATTTTTCCTGCTGCTCTTGAAGAATCTTTGCCGAAGACTTGGCATCTATATATAGCTTGCTTACTTCCTCAAGATCCGCCTATAAATAAATAAAAAACACTTTTACTCCTTGAATTAATGATAAACAACAATAATGAACAACAACTGCTCCCCCATATTTAATTACCTTGCAAATGCTGTCTCGACCATTCATTTTTGCCACGATGCTAGCAGGCGATAACAGCTGAACTGCATGCCTGAAGAAACAGAAACATTTTAAGTATACTTCGGATAAAGGAGGCCAACTGATACAGAGCAGAAGTAGAATTTAACCCCGACCTTAATGATGTGTTTTGTCCGATCTCTCCTAGGAATGCCAGACTTTCTTCATCTACAACCAGTTCTTCCACCTGTGCACGAATTGCTAAAATCTGCAGACCACAATAAGTGAAAATATAGCTATGTTGTTATTTGATGTATGCTACAACTAACAAAGTAATGCTGACAGTGAAAAACATATAACCAGGCCTTTAACCTGTATCATTTCAGCAGGACCATAAATCTGTGTACGGATGATCACCAATCTGTCCAATAAGTCAACAGGTATGCCGTGAGGACTATTCATATCAGTGCCCCTGCAAAAGCGTATATCCATTTTTCAGAAACTAGAACCAAACAATTCAGCAATGAGAATATATGAGATCAGGTATACCTCAGATCAAAAATAAAAAAATAAAATTCATCTTGCAGAAGAGGTCTCATTCATATTCTGATTCTTAAATTGCATGCCTGGAAAATGAATATGTAAAACTATGCTAATCCTCTATAGGAGAACACAAAGGCACATCTTGATAATGGGTTACTCTTTGCAGAAAGAAAGAGCAATTTCCACAGAAGCACTCACCATTAAAAAAAGGATGTTACAGAAAGGAAAACAAGAGAGGGAGAGGGTAGATGGATGATGGGAAGAAAACGCCCTAAATATTGAATATCCATCACAATTTTACTTCATCTACTGCATTCCAGACAGACTATAAATCTATAATGACAAGCGGAATACCATCACTAAAAGAGAACCACTCTTTCTTTAATGTAACATTATGCTGTCCAACTCTAAGCAAAAAAGCATTGAAATCACTTCAAGACTAAAGATAACTATCCCATTTACCTTTGTAAAAGTGCTTAGGCATTGCATATAACTGTACTTTAAATCAAATGATAACCTATCATAGTTGACATGAGAAACTAGCTAGCATAATCCAAAGCAAGTGGCGTACTGCACCAAGTTGCATAGGCGACCAGTTCGAACCCATTAAAAAAGGGAGGAAAAAAGAGGTGAGCAGTGATTGCGGGTAGTTTGAGTTTGTTTCCTATAATATAATCTACCTTGCCCAACAAGATTTAGCTTTTCTAGTTTCATCAACATCAATCCTCATTAAATTTTCAGGCTAACCTCACTCAAAAATGGCTGTAACTACTACAGTGCACAACCAATGTTGCTCCCTTCCATGGTGTAGGTCAAATATCATTTAGCAGACACGTCAGGAAAAACTCCATGGTAGTTGAATTTACTTGAATTTGATTCATGTTTCATCCTATCACTATTCCTCAAATAATGAGAGCCTAAATTTGGAATAAATACAAGCAAAAATTTCCACAACAACCAAATCTCTTTCAGGATGATCTTATTGTAGTATCAAGATTTTTCTGCACTCTATGCTTAATAGAAATCAAGACCAAACCAATGACATCGTTTCACTTGAATCTGAAGTAGTGACAGTAGGTCATGATGTAAGAGTAATAACTCCTCTTATATTAAAGTTCAAATTACATACAACTTCCTTATGGATGTAATTAAAAGAAAAGTCAATATACCAAAAATTCCAACATCTCAAAAAAGATTTTCTTCACCTCACATTACATATTCCTCTATTTGTAGCAAAAATTACTATTGGAGATAGCGAGCTCTCTAAAGCACGATTCAAGTATGAAAAGCACTCCATGTCTAGCATATGCACCTGCAAATCATGATTTAGAAAACATAAGCATGCATGATATGGAAACATGCTTTAACAATGTGCATAGGTCATGATCTAAGAAAATATTTTAAATCTACATGAATGTGCACACATACTTGCATGCAAACACATATTGCATCGAAGGAAATATACTATATACTGAAAAGAGCTCAAGTAAAGAAAAGGGCAAGACCTCATCAATGAATAGAACTCCTGGGACGAGCTCTGCCACACCTTCATCAATATACCGGTTAACAACCTGTCAAAAACAACATTATTTAAATTAAAAGGCATTCCATCTTCAAAAAAAATATTTAGCATGGGAGTTGAAGAAAAAATTCAAATTGAACAAGCAATCCATGTCTCTAAAAGTCACGACCATATGGGATAGCAATAACTTCTAGGGAGCAGATCATAACACACCAATATTGCTTTTCATAGCTTTTAGAATATTATGATCCTACAGTCTGATCCAACTGACCAACAAGTGACTTTAGATACAGAACATGCAGTACAGTACATTATCTCCCATGTGAACCATGTAAGAAATACAAGCAAAACTCTCAAAATTTGACAGGAAGATAATAAACACGTGGAGCTTAGCATTAATGGCTATAGCCCTACAGCCACAGATTGTCCATAAAAATCATCATATGGGTGTATCTCAAATGTGTTTGGAAAATAATGCCTTATTTATTTCTTGTCGTAATTTGTCAGTGATTTCTGTCTTCCTGGGCTTCATCATCTGACCCATTAGAGACAATATGTCTTGGCCCCCTTGTGGTTGTGCATTGGCAGCATCCAGATCGTGTAGTGTTACATCCTGATGGTGAAGAAACATAAAAAAGAAATTTTTTTATGAATTGCAACATGGGTCCAAAACAAATAAATTTGGAACCAGAAAAAGGCAAATAGGACTAAGCCCAGCAAAGCTATATTTGTAACAAATCAGAAAAATGCAGAAGGCATCAAATTTATAAAATTTTCTTATTTTTTAAATTGAGTGAGATACAGCTTTTAAGCAGGCCAATAACCGTTGGTAGTCGGCAAATTGTTGGTGACAAATTTCAGAAAACAGTTCTCACTTCTCAAGTGCAATGAAAGACATGATCATAATGGTCCTTTCGTAGTTGCAAACAAAATGTATTTCCAAAGTAGACAAATGTCCATGCTTATCAGTATAAAACATAAGCAGAAAGAAGCCTCTAAGGCCAACTAGAATATACTACAGCATGAATGCTAAGGGGAACACAGAGATAAGCCTGAGCTCAGTTGAGAGAAACCTGCACAATCTCTTTCTTTTTGTGAACCTCTCCTTTGGGAAGTGGGACATATTCTTCTGCTTCAAGGTCAAATTCTGTGGCAAAAGCATCACTTCTGCCAACCCTTTTGACCGCTCCACTATTTGCTTCAATATATATAACATCTCCAGCAGCTACCTGCCAGTCAAATTAAAAATCTCACTACATATCATTAATTGAAGCCAAAACTCTTAGGCAGATAACAACCTAATTGTTGAAAAGCTCGTAGATGAGAGAGATGAATAATTTAACATGCTATAGTACCTATTATGGTCTTACAGTTTACAATAGGTCAGAAAATAAAAAATTGAACATTTTTTTTCCAAATACTTAAGCAGAGAAACTTAATGGCTTACCTTTTCTTTAATCAAGGCATCATAGATTGTAGGGTCCAACTTCAGTTGTTTTGTTCCTTTGACAGTTTTCAATCCAATAATTACATGACTAATGCTTTTACCATAACCACCTGTTACACTTTCTGTTTCTTCAGGAGAGAGTTCAGTAACCTGAAACATGAGTAGCCAGGCATCAAGCACTGCAGCTATCCCAACAAAACAAAGAGAAAACAATCACATAAAACCAGGGACAAAGAACTATCATCAGCTGTAACTTGCCTCTCCTTCATAGACTTCTTTATTTTCCTTGATACGTAAACCAATAGCCCGTCGGAAATTTTCCATCAAAACCTCAGTTTTCTTCACCTCGGATGAGTATACCTCAGATCCAACCATTGGACAGAATGGAACCTGCAAAGGAGGAAGAGGAATACGCATAAACAAAAAGTGACAATCCCTCCAAAGAACTGGAATAATTTAATAATGCTAAAGTTCAAGGACATTCAAAAAATAAAGGGAAAAAGTAATGAGAACCTTGCTCCCAAGCTCTTGGGATATTCCAAGGGCCAAAGCTGTTTTCCCAGTACCAGGAGGCCCAGCTAGAAGAAGTGCACGGCCAGCCATCTTCTTCTGTCTTATCATATCCACCACAAGTCCACCTGCTTCCCTTGCCTCTGATTGCCCCACAAAACCTGCAGCCAAAGGAATGGCATTTCCATTCGCCTGATAAACAAAGGAAAAGAAAAGTTCATGAAAGATAAAAAAATTGGTAAAAAAGGAGAGCATTCTAGCCAGTGAATAAAAAAGAAAGATATGGGAAAGTGCATGTTAGCCAACTATCATATTTCTATTGTTACACCAATCGACTTCTTCAACCAACTTCATAGCGAAAATACATGAATAAAACCCACTTATTCAACTTTAAATGCATAAAAAATATAATACACTTGATAACAATCTACGCCTTCAAAAGCCAGTCAATTCTTTCGATAGTCCATCAATTAAGAATTAAAATAAAATTTGTTCAATATATATTATTATCTCCATTGTTGGACAGTAAGGTTTCCATTGGTAAATACTTTTATTTTCAGCTATTTCTCTTTGATTTTCTATTTTTATTTTTGGTTTTTTACTTTCTATTAACTTTTACTTCTATCCACTCTAAATATGCCAAACCCAAATTCCAAAAATTAACAATAAATGCCCAGTAACTTGAATAAAAAAGTGAACTTTTTAAGCTTAAACCCTAACCCAGAAAAGGGTTTAAGAAAAAAAAGCGAACTTCCCATGGCTTAAAACGAACGAAACTTCACAATGCTCACAATTACAATATTATTGCAGAAATAAATGAAAACAAAAGCATTTAAGCTGAAAAAAAAAAGAAATTTAAAAAGAAAGAAAGAGAGGGAGTGATTACATCGAGACCAAGGCCTTTGATGTGAGTGTGAGTAGCGATTCTCTGCTTTTTGGCCGTTGATTGAACCTCTTCGATCTTCATTTTGTCCCTCTATTTCCTTTCTTTTTCTCTACTTCACTTTTCTTTTGTCTATGTTAATGGCCGCCTTTTGTTTTAGTGGAAAGAAGGAAGGAAGCTTCAAGTTCGAGGCTTTGAGCCTTGAGCTTTGAGCAGCTGCTGTAACCTGGCTTTTTTTGTGAAAAAAAAGGCGAGGTTTAAGTAGTTCACAAATTTGGATCCTCTGCTTCCTGCACCTAATACCTTCCTATGCTCCCCTCATAGTAATGCGCCACGTGGAGCGGTAGATTGTAGATGAGTTTTTCCCACAAGAGTAATTTAAAATTTTTATTCCTTAATAAGGATAATTTTAAATTTATTTCCCTTAACAGGATACTTTAAACCAATAAATGCCATGTTAGCACTTCATCCGTCTTTTCCACTTTCGTTCCTTTATTTCAAGTTTCAACACAAAGAAAAACCAATAAATTTGGATTAAAAAAATTGCTCTTTATATTCTCAAGCGAAAGACTCATCTCTTACCAACATTGTTTGAGATTGTTTAAATCAATAAGAATTCATGGGCTAACACTAAAATAATAAAAAAAAAAAAACCCATCAAATCAATTCAATGTATAACTTGAAAAAAAAAAAGAACATTACCCAAATTTTCTGACAAAAATTGTTTGTTTTAATGTGAGCCATGAAGTTTAAAACAAGAAAATTCATCATCATTTTATTTCTTTCTTTTTTTTTTTCTAAAAATGATATAGCAACCTTATTCAATCAACACTATTAAACCTCCTCACATTACACTTTGTATGGTTTTGAGTTTCATGGTTATTTGGGTCATAGTTTAAGCCTTTTTTGGGTTATTTCTGTACCAAGAAACAAGAATGCTTTTGTGTTTATCAAAGAATCAACTTTTTGTTAGAAAGATCAGATCAGTATAACGGCTACCAATTGCACTGAATTGTATCCAATGGTTATCTTAATCCTACTCTGCAATTTCTTTACCATTCTACCTTTGAACCATTCATATAAATGGGTGAATTCTTCTACAAGTGACAGGATCAGCTAGCGAACTCCCACCATTATGTTCCAGATTAAAGGCTTCTCAGGTTTTAGTCTTTAAATTACACTTTTTTATTTCTTTTTTAAAATTTTTTTTTTTGTAGATGAAGATGTTCTGCATATGTTTTTCAAGGATAGAGAAGTAAATGAAGATTTTATTTCCAAAGCTTTTGACATGCTATGGCAGAGAGAGGTTCTGAGAGTTGTTAATCTTGGACCTAAAGTAATAAATACAATAACATAAAAGTAATATATCGTAATAAACCCATAATAATATATAACAATCAACAATCAATAACGTAAAAAAAATAAAGCACATCAAAATTTACATAAAAAAATCTTCTAATGTAGAAGAAAAAATCACGGATCACCAAAAAAATCTTTACTATCAAATAATGGATATATAAAGTTTTTCTTTAACTAAAACTAGAGCTAATCAACAACTAGAGAGAGACAATTGGAGAAATCTCATCAAATAGGTGACTCAACAAATATACATTGGAATTGTTTCTAGAGAGTTTCAAACTCAATTTTTACCGTTTAAAATATAGAACTCTGAATCATAAATCTGTTGATAAAATTTCAGTTCAATCAAATCACAAATTGACTTCCGTTCAACTAACTCTCATTTCTCCCTTTTCTCTCTATATTTCTGGCTTTTCTTCTTTCTTTTCTTGGTTTGTGACACCACTTTAAAATAGCCCACCTTTTTATTAAGTAGCTAGAGCTCTGTGTAAAAAGAAAGACCAAGGCCCATGACCTTTGATTGATCCAAAATCAATTACATGGGGCTAGACCTCATTTTTCTAACAATCTCCCATTCTAGCCCTATTAAGAGGAGATTTATCACCATTGCAGTTTCGCTTGAAACTTACTTTGGCCAAGGAACTCATTCCAACCAAGTTACTGCAGAGCTCAAGCTTTTTTTCTAAAAAGTATCTTAGTCAATATATCTGCTACATTCTCATCAGTATGGCTTTCTTCAATAACATTTATTGTTCCTTAATCACTGAATGTAACTAGTGATATCTAACATCAATGTGCTTTGTTCTAGCATGGTACATGGATTCTTACTCAAATTTAAAACATTTTGGCTATTACAAAATATCACATACTCTTTTTGATTCAGCTCCAATTCAAAAAAAAAATGTTTCATCCAAAATATTTCTTTACCTACTTGGTTGTTGTAATATACTCAATCTTGTAGTTGATAAAGCAACACACTTCTACAACTTAGACTACCAAATACAACTACTTCTATAAAAGTGAACAAATATCCTAAAATAATTTTTACCATCAAGATCACCTCATGTCAGCATCAGTAAACCCTTTTAGAACTGGTTATGAAACTTCATAACTCAAGCACATTTTTGAGGTGCTTCTCAAATATCTAAAAATTTATTTCACTATTTCCCAATGAAACTTTTTAAGATTAAAAAAAAATCTGCTCACTACACTAACTGTATGAGCAATATTAGGCACTGTATAAACTATAAGATACATTAAATAATTGACTGTAGAAGAATAAAAAATACTGGACATAGCTAATTACTTTTCCTCAGACATCGGACAAGATTTTTTACTTAGATAAAAATGATTGTCAAGTAGACTACTAACTGATTTAACATGTTGCATGTTAAATCTACTAAGCACATTTTCAACATACTTTTTTTTGTGACAATTATAGCTTTTCAGCTCTTCTATTTCGGATAATATCCATATCGAGAATCTGTTTTGCTGGACTTAAATCCTTCATATCAAAGAACTTAGATAATTATTCTTTTAACCTGCGAACCATATTAACATATTGTCCCATAATCAACATATCATAAACATATAATAAAGAATAATGAAGTTACTATCAAGAAATTTTTTGATATACATATAAGGATCCGTTACCGTTCTTTTATAATTGTGGTTCACCATAAAAGAATCAAAATTTTCGTACCATTATCGCGGAGTTTGTTTCAAGCCATACAAACTAAGTGCTTTTTTTCTTTTACTTTAAAACCCTCAATTTGATTCATATAAATATCCTTCTACAAGTCACCATACAAGAAAGTAATTTTAACATCAAGTTGCTCAAGCTCAAGATTCAAACTAGCTGTTAATCCCATCACCACTCGAATGAAACTCATTTTCACAACTAAAGTGAAGATCTCATTAAAATTGATGCCTGATTTCTGAAAAAAATATTTTATCATTAATCGAGCTTTGTACCTCACTAGTTTATCACCATCATTTTTCAACTTGAACACTCATTTATTCTTCAATGGTTTCTTCTTTTTTGAAGTTTAATAAGATCATAAGTACTATTTTTTCGTAATGAGTCCATCTCTTCTTTCATTACTTTTAATCAGTACTCTCTATCCAGAGTAACCTACATATCTTAAAAGCTCTCTCGCTCTTTCTCACTGGTAACTAAAATAAAATATGAACTTGAATACCTGGTAGATGGCTTTTGCTCTTTAGTTAATCTTTTTGGCTAAAACTCTATATCACCTGATGCTGAAGGTAGCTTCTCCTGCTTAACACTCTTAGGTAGAGTGGATTACTCCTTTTACTCAAAACTAATTGTATCTGGCTCATTACTAACTTTGGCAAACTTATTCATATCCTCAACTTTTGTTTATTGTTCATTTTCATCATCTGTGGCTCTTTCCTATGAAACCCCTATTGCTGTTGAAATATCACACTTAATAATAACCCGTGTAGTCTTCTCATTTTTTTCAAGGTCTGTCATAATTTTTTTTCATGAAAGATCACATCTTTACTTTTGATTGCCTTTTTTTTCATTGGATCCCATACTCTGTAGCCAAAATTTTCATCACAATATTCTATAAATACACACTGTGTGACTTTATTGTCAAGCTTTGATCTCTACTCTTTTGGTACATACATGAATACTTTACATTCAAAAATTTTTAAGTAAGAGTATAAAGCATCTTTTTCTATCAACACTCTTTTTGGAATGTCAAAGCCTAAAGGAACTGATGGTAATCTGTTAAGCAAATAATAAGTTGTATTGACTGCTTCACCCCATAATAATTTTGATAATTCTACCATTTTCAACATGCATCTGACTTTTTTTACAATGGTACAGTTCATCATTTCAGCTATACCATTATGCTGTAATGTTTCAAGTTCTGTTATCTCATGCCTGATCCCATGCTTTGAACAATACTCTTCAAAGTTTTTGAATGTGTATTATTCACTATTATTAGTTCGAATACACTTCAAGGGTAACCCTGTCATCCTTTTCACCATGGTATAAAATTTTTAAAAATATTGTAGTACTTGACTTTTGTTTTTTCAACATATACACCTAAATCTTACTTGAAGCATCATCAATAAAAATAATAAAATACTAGTTACTCTCTAATGACTTAACCTCAATGAGGCCACATACGTCAGAATAAATCAATTTTAATTTTTTTTTGAAAACTTTTACGAAAAGAAACTTTAAGATACTTACCAAATAAACAATTATCACATAAATCGAGAGATATAACTTTGGTCAAAGGAATGAGAGACTGCTTTACTAAAATTTGTAACCCCTTCTCACTCATGTGTGCTAGCCTCTTGTGTCATAAGTTTGTTGAAACATTATCCTCAATGGCATTTATCTGGTTACTGTTCAATTGCATCCATATTTTATATATTATGCAACATAATTTTTTTCTTGCAACTATCATAGATCCTTTGAGAAGCTTCTATTGCTCATTTTTTTTCGACACTCATATCATTTTTATTAAGGATATCAATAGCAAGTAAGTTCATTCTCATATTTGAAATGTATCTAACATCTCTCAAAGTCAACGTGCAGCCTATACTAATTTATACAACAATATCACCAATCTCAATAATCTACGACATATTCATGTTTTCTATCTTGGTGTAACCAAAATCTCTGCTTTATAAGTTGTAAACAACTCTCTCTTAGGAACACAATGATATGCCGCTCTTGTGTCAACTATTCACTCAATGTCATGATCACCAACATGATTATAATCACTATGTGTACAAATCAAAGTAACTGAATCATTATCTGAATTCATTGTTGCAATATTATCATCATTTGAACTCTTGTCTTTCTTTTTCTTTTTTTGCTTTTATTTTAAGATTTTACAGTATCATTTTATATGACCTGTTTTACCACAATGAAAATACTTCATTTTATCTTTGGACTTAGATTGATGTTTAGACTTACTACAACCTTTGAGTTCTGACCTCTATCGATGTTTCAACCGTTATTCTCTATGACCAGAGTTTGATTCCCAGGGTCTATATCTTTTTGCTTTGCTTCTTCATTAAGCATACTATCTTTTATCATCTTCAATGTCACATTGTAATCAGGAGTTGAATTAAGAATAATCATAGATACTGTTTGATAATGAACCCAAAAGAAATAATGCATTCATTTTATCATCCATCTTAAGCTCTATAGTAATCATCCGATTAAAAGTCTTAAAAATCACTCAAGTGCTTTGTAATTGATCGTTCTTCCTTGTATTATAAAGTTATAAGCTTTTTAACAAGTATAACTTTATTCATACCTATTTTTCTCTCATATAATGCTGTCAATTTTTTTCAAATAGTGTGGGCATCTGTCTTTTATGCTACATGATGAAACATGCTGATATCAATTCATTTTTTGATTTTAACTAGCATCTTTTTGCCTAACTTCTTCTAATTTTTATCTTTCATATATGCTAATTTAGTCAAATCACCAAATACCAGATCATATAAATTTTTACAGTATAAATGATCTTTCATCATAAGCTATCAAATTGAATAATTTGATGCTGTCAATTTTATCATGAAACTTGTATCACCTTCCATGATCTCAAATAAAATTTACTTCTATCTTGGGTTGTTTCTGTATCAATGTCTCAAAATAACCCTTGCTCTAATACCATTTGTTGGAGATCACCATAACTCTGATACCATTTATTGAGCTTGAAGCAATAAACACAACAACGTGAAAACAATATATCGCAATAAATTCACAGTAATAGACAACAATTAACAATCAATAAAGCAGGAAAAATAAACACACTAAAATTTACGTGAAAAACCCTTAAGTGTAGAGGGAAAAATCACGAACCATTAGAAAAATCTTCACTATTAAATAATGGATATACAAAGTTATTTTTTAGCTAAAATTAGAGTTAATCAACAACTAAAAAGAGATATCTCACTAAATAGTTGACTCAACAAATACACATTAGATTTGTTCTTAGAGAGTTTCAAACTTAATATTTACTGTTCAGAATGTAGAACTCTTAATCATAAACTTGCTGATAAAATTTCAGCTCAATCGAATCACTGATCGACTTTCATTCAACCAACTTTCCTTTATCCCTTTTCTCTTATCTTTCTGGCTTTTTTTTTTTTTCTTTTTTGGTTTACGACACCATCTTAAAACAGCCTCAACTCTTTTTATTAAGTAACTAAAGTTTTGTGTAAAAAAAATGACCAAAGCTTATATCTTTTGATTGATTCAAAACCAATTAAGACTCATTTTCCTAACAGTTAATGCTGATTTTGGCAAACTTGTACACTCTACTCAGCAAGCAGAGCGGGTGCAATATTATCTCTTTGCTTTCTATGCTGGCTTGGTTTTAGTTTAACATGTTCTTAATTATTTCTGTATGCCGTATGTAATTATAGTTCTGCTTCAACTCCCCTAGCCCAACCTGTATTTTGCTCCTGATTTGTGAATCTGATATCTGATTTGCTCCATGTTTGCTTGTTTTCATACATATTATTTCATGGACCAAGCTGATTGAATTCACTTGTGAGTTGTGATAATGATCCTTACATATATGTAGGTCATGGGAAGTGATGATGGGAGTGGATTTTTTATGCTGTCAAGAACTCAGGAATGGTTATTAGGTGACAATTCTGCACCGAGGAATAAGAAAGCTTTTGCCAAGGTGTGCTTTTATCTTTTCCCTCCCTTCTGCCCCCCTCTCTGGTTATCATTTTGTCCTATGCTATCCATGTTGGGAGCTCTCTGCTTGAACAAATGAGTAGTGCACGAGACCAATGCTTGGCCAACCTAACGAGGTGTGGCCCAGAAACAGGTTAACCAAGGGGCTGCTCTCAGTTGTCACATATAGGGCAGAAACCCCTTCAATGGATTCAAGCCCTATATTTGTGTCATAATTGGTCCAATTTTAAATCCCTTCCAACTTTTATTAAACTCCCAAAAAATTCTTTCAAGTTTAAAGAAATAAATCACCTTAATTGTAATTAACCCATGTGTATGAACAGGTGTTGCTGGATGACAGTGAAAGAAGGAAGAAACTGAACCATCTTAAATATGAAGCTGTATGCCACTCATCTCGAACTCATCTATTTCTTAGTTAGGGGTTTATTTTTTATATACAGTTGTTTTAGTAAAGTGTCAAGAACCAATGGATAACTGGAAAGAGGTTTTGGTCACAAACTGTAATAAGTCTTGCTTCAGACAAATGTTAAATTTTTGTGGAAGGTGGTAATTCTTTGTCATTTGTTCTTGTAGGGCAAGAGAGAGTTGATGCTTTTATCAGTTGGAATTGGAACTGCATGCAGTGGGTATGGTTTGATAGTCTTATCAGTTCAGGTAAAATATTCGCCAAAACCAGCAACTCTGAATTGTGATGTCTAAAATTTAATGATATGGATATTCTTTCAGCACATGTCTTGATCAGTTATGGCCTGCTTGAGAGCTGGGAAAATGGAAATGAATCTGAAATCTTGCTACAATTCTTTACTTTTAAGCATTGGGCATACTTCCATTCCTTCTATGTTTAGGAGATATTGCTTCAAGAGGGAAAAAAAAAAGAGATTTTCAGACATTGTCACATTCCTATTAGCTTCCATAGAAATGACCTTCTTTCATATTGTGCGGGCTGCTGTTAGTTATGTTGTAGGGGTTCTTTTCAGGTTAGTTGCTACATTTCTAATTTGGTTGTTTCTGTCGAATTGACACTTTAATGAGCTCAGTGTAGCAACTCTATTCTTGTAATGAATTCATAGAACTAAAGAGGCCATTAGTCAAGGTTTAAGGCCCCCATCTTTTCACATGTTTACTTTGCGGAGATGATATATTGAACTGAAAATATTCCCGTAAGTATCTTATACAGAGAGGAAAACTTCATATTCATCTAGTGGCGTAATGAGGGGATATTTTAATTTCAGGCATGATGGTCATATTCCCCTCGAAGCCTTTAGAGGCCCAATAAAATTTTTATCCTCAAAATTTATTATTGCTTGGAGTAAATCAAAAGGTTATTGACTTGGACAAGCCATTCAGTATCTAGTTGAGGAAATCTTTCTACTGATCAGCATTTTAGCATACTCAACTTAGGAACAAATGTTGCCCATGTGATACTTTCTTGAGGATAGGAAGAGGAGAGAAACCCTTGTCGTTATTGTTCATGACTTTTTTGCCACCCTTGCTAGTCATCTTAGTACCAAATTTTTAACCGAATTCATTTTCTGTGCAGTTGCTTGTACCTTCAGCTCTTATATCAGCATGTGGATAATCTATTGAAGGAAATGGTTCCTCAGATTTTCAAGCCAAAGAAATTGAAAAAGTACTATTGAGAACTTCCGTCTTCTATTTGTGATCACTCTTTTTCCCTTTGATTGTTTACAATGATGTTTGTTTTCTTATTTCAGAATAGGAATAAGAAGTGAGGACTTGCAGGACTTCTTAGAGAGATCAATCAAGGGTAGTGGCATTGCTCTTTCTTCTCCAAGACTAGTGATCCCAGCTGCTGTATATGGATTGTGGATCCTGTCCCATAAATTTTTGGCCAATGATTTCTTTGATTTTCAGGTAGCTCTTCAGACAAGGTTTTGTTGATAATAACCTGTCAAGCAATATCCTTCATACGGTTTTTGGCCTGCTTGTGAAATTCCGAGACACTCTTGAAGTTTGAAACATGGCAACAAGTAGTTTGCATTATCATTTATAGTTTTCGGTCCTTGTTCTTCACAGCTTGTGCCTTCAATGGTTGGGATGTTTGCATACAAAGCGGCTGCTCTTGTTCAAGTATACAGAGATAATGAAGACCTGCAGTTTATCTTTCCAGAAAACGAGGAACATTCAAGTGACTGAGTCTGCAATTTTGCATAGTTTGATTGAATACTTCAACCATGAACTGATGTCTTCCTGGCTAGTGCCGTACAGCGGGAAATTCTTCCACATTTTGTGCCATGTTAAATACATGGGGATGATTCAGACAAGAAAGCCATCCAAACAAACTCTTAAGGGAAATGATGCGGTTTCTACTTACCTGTGCTGGTGCCAGTATGATTCAGGGTACGTACATTTCCCTTGCAAGTTTCAATGAATATCGAATTCTAGCAAAACTGCAAGGTCCATTCATTGGTGTTGATGCTTTATCGTATATGTTTCTAATTTCGGCGAATGATGCTCAAAATTCATGCATATTTCTAACGTGATTACTGCCATTGAACTGTTCATGATCATATGATGATTGATAACCAATTTAGAGAAAAAAAAATTCTTTCACAAATTTTGTCTAAAAGGGTTTTTTATGTGCCCATTTAATTGATAAATTTTATTACTATTCGGTTAAGTGGGAGTGGAAACACAAAAATTTCCGCTTAAGTTGCCTTATTATCTTTCCATGGAAGGTCAGTAGATTTTTTTTCCTTTTACAAGAAGTGGTCATAGTTGAGGATAAAAGAGGTTGAATTTGAATTCTTGTTAAATGTTTTTTTTAAAAGTGATTATATGAATGAGTTTTAAATTTTCGAAGGATTAATAATTGATCTTAGGCATTTGGTCATTTGCATAAATATGGATGTGGCATGCCAAACTTAAACAGATTTAAAATTTCTTATTTGATTGAAAATTGCAGGCGGTTCAAAAACCAAAAATTCTGAATCCTTTTGGAAGTTGAAGCAAAAGGCCAAATGCTTAATGCCACCGGGTAGCTCAAATCTTGGGCGGCTGCTGCTAAGTAAAATGAGCAATGCGATTTTTTTTTTTTTTTTTTAATTAAGTCAAGTATATCTTCAAGTTTTAAGTTAGAACTTTTTTTTTTTTTAAACAATTTTAAGTTTTCGAATTAATTTATATCATTTAAGATTTTATTTTAAAGTTTTTTTACTGAGTCAACTCAGTAGAATGCAATGAAATTTTATAATTTCATATATGAAATAAAAATTAATAAATTTTATATAAATTTGATAAAAATAAAAATATATGTTTTATAATTTGACATATCTAATCAAGTAATAACACTTCGAATTGGATTTAATTTAATTTTTTTAAATAATATATTATATTATAAATTTTTAAAATTTGATTTGAATTTAAATTAATATTATTTTGAAATCGATTTCATTTGAATTAAATTTTATAAATTGAATTCAATAGATTTTAAAAATTTTATTTTTTATATATTATTTTAATAAAATTTTGAATATATTTAAATAGATATATTATAAAATAATTGATTTTATTTCATAAAAATTTAAAAAATATATAAAAATTAATAAAAATATATAATTCGATGTTTTTCACATTTTAATTTGAAATTTAATTTAAAATTAATATATATTTAATATCTAAATTTAATCTAAATTAAATAAAAAAATTAATCTTAATCAAATATTATGATTTTGAGCCGATTTTCGATTTTTTCATTTTTTTACCTTTAAATGTATTAATGTAAATTATGATAAATAATTTTATATTTATCAATAATATTCGTACATATACGCGAATTATTGTACGTATCTTTGTAAAGCGGACATTTTTATCTAATTTTGCCCCTTGTAACATTTAAGTGTACATTGAGGCAATTGACAAACAGTAACATGGAATCAATTACACTCCATTAAACAAAATCAAAGAAGAACAATAAAAACCCAAAATTCTCATTTCACTGACTCCGGACCCTAGATCCCAATCGGACCCCACCCCTCCCTCCGATGGAGGCTTCAAAGAAATCCGGCGGCCACCGCGAGATGCTTGAATCGATGTACTCAGTGATCGCTCTAGTCTTCATTTTAGTGGCCTGCGTCGAACTCTGCGACGCTGCCACCGCCGTCGACGTCTACCGTCTAATCCAATACGACATGTCCGGTTCCCCTTTCGGATCTCGCTTTGCCGCCCTGAACCACCATGCCGCCTCCTTGCATTTCCCTCCTGGCGCCGATCTTTCTAGAACCGTCCTCATCATCCCTCTTCGTGAATTGAACATCACTTTCATCAGAGGTTCACTTTCATTCTCAACAATTCAATTTTACCTCTTTCTTTTGAGTTTTAAGTTTCTTAATTTAATTTAACCTTTTCTTTTTGGTGGTTGGCAGATTATATTAATCAGAAAAAGCCATTAGGAGGGTTGTTGTTTCTGCTTCCTGAAGTATTTAGCTTTGAAAATGGAGGGAATAAGCAAATTCATGAAAAAGAGAAAATGAAAAATCTATTGGCACAGCTCGAACAGTTACTTATAAATGCAAATATACCTGTGAGTATACTAGAGATATATTTTCTTATGTTTAAATTATATCTTTACCACAAAAGTATTATTGGAATCTATATCTTTGTGTAAGTTTCTATATAAAATTTTTTTGGTACATAATATGTATTGAGATTGAAGTTTCCATGATTGCCAACTTAATTTTCATTGAGATCTGAACTCTGTTAACTTGACAGTTTACAAGGCTTGATTTTGGTTCGAGTGCTATTTTGTCTTTGTTGCCTGAGACTGATTCTTGTTTAATGTCTTTACTCTTTTCCCTTATGTTGTCATGTGTTAACTTGACAATCTAGCATGTTCAATTTTTCAGTTAGGGCATTTCTCTGTCTTTGTTGACTGATGCTGAACTGTATTTAGTGGCGTTCCCCTCATGTTGTCGTCATCTTTTGACTACTTACGATTTTTTTTTTTGCAACGCCTATATGTTGCTTTGTCGGTGTTTAGTACACCAACATTTACATCTTGATTGAAATTAATTTTGACATTGTCTCAATATTTTCTTCCTCTATCTTGGCCATTGGTTTAACACTAACTTTCTAATTATTTTGCCATTGTTTAAAAAATCTTGCCAAGTCTGAAAGATTTAGATTCCAAATTCTTGATCCTTGCTTCCATACTGAGTTGATGTCTGTTATTTCATATTAACTAATTATATGATTGTTGAATAGCATAAACCATGAAATTTCTTCCTCTAATTTTTCTATCAATAAGCAACTTCAACACCAATGCATATATGTAGGATTTGAGCCATTTTTTTTATTGCTATTATTGCATCTTCAGAAAGCTTTTTCTTCAAAAAGTAATTATATTATGATATATACTTAGGTCTCATTCTCATTAGTACACTATCATTCTATGTTCTGCTGTGTCATCAGCCAGGACAGATATCTGTCCTCTACTTCTCAGTTTTCACCTCATGTTCTTTGTGCACATATGGTTTTTAGAACTGAAATCCAGTTAATGATATTCTTGTGATTCGAAACTTAACCTTTGTTTCTTCTCATTTATTGGAGAAAAATGGCAAGAAAAGGAAAACTTTGTTAGTTGTCTCTTCTTTATTCCCTTATGTCTTCTTGATGCTACACATTTGTAACTTTATTTTGGGATTTGGTGTTGCAGTATCCAGTCTATTTCGCTTTTGAGAATGATGAAATTGATACTGTGTTGGCTGCTATCAAGAGGAATGATTTGATTGGTCAGCCTGCTACTGCAACTACTGGCGGGTAAGTTTATAGCTTTTTGTTTAAAATTGTGGAAATTCTAGTAGATAAGATGCTTATCTTATGCCTTTGTTTTTGCAGTGAATGATTATTATCATTTCATAAATTTGGGTAGCTTAACATACCATGTGCTCTTCCCTTGTACCTAAAAACTTCATGTCTCATGACAGTCTCAGTTTGTCATCTCATGAGGGTTTTTCATTGCATTTTTACCTCAAGTAGAAAAGCACCTGCATCTAATCTGCCAGTTTTTTTTTCTCTGAGAGAGAGCTGACATGGATTTGCAGAATAAAGAAATCTTCATTTGGTTTTCATTTGTAATGAACTTTCTTTGAAACAGTTTCAGCAAAAGATAAAGGGGCATGGTACCATTCAAGTGTTTTATAAGGATGCCCATTTGATATCAGGAAAAGGATCTTCCTGAACTCTTAACTGTTTTCATTGAGGGAGAGAACATATTACCTGTTTCCTCTTTTTATTTCTCAAAATTTGTAAAAATATCATTTTCGCAGCTCAAGGTCCAAACAACTGATTCCCTTGTTTTTTCACTGAAATTCCAACATTAATCTTACTGCATTTGTGCCTGATTTTAGTCCTTGTTGTTATCCTTTACCATGGTTTTGTATTTTTAAGTAAAAATGATTCTATCTCTACTTGTAAATATTTTGTTAGTTTTTGTGTATTTTCTAGTTCATTTTTCTGTTGAGATTGGTAAGTATATAGATTTGTTGTCATTATTCGTGTTTAATTCCGGCTCTTCTTGGGAAATGATTTCAGATACAAGCTTGTTATCTCAACACCAGAACCTAAGAAAGTTGCATCTCCCACCATCACTAATATTCAGGTGTGTGTCAACTTTTACTTTTCTAAGTGAAGGAAAGGAGTTGTAACTGATTATTTGTGGAAAAATTCTCATGGCTTGTAATCTAGCTGCATCCTATACATAGTAATATCAGATGCAGGTAGTAGATGAAAGACATTCACTTGGTTTTGTTTTTACAATATGAAAAAAATACCCTTCTCTTGCATTTGAAATGTTGAGGCTTGAGGTTAATACAGTAGAGGTGATGTAAAAGGAAAGAACCTTATTTACCTTCTGACCAGGGAATAAAGAAAATATATCAATGCTTCTTGAAAGTTACATGGTTCATGTGCATATGTCGCATGCACCAGCTTCATATTTGTTTTTGTTTGGAAAGATGTTTTGACATTGGATATTGGTATGCTTAATTTTTCTTAGCTAGTTTTTGCTTATTGCATGTATAAGCTGGGGAATCTTGAATATGCTATTAATGGTGTTTACTAGAAGAAGTTTTTACTCTTGTAATTCTTCTCTGTGGTAACAGGGGTGGTTGTCTGGATTGAAAGCTGATGGAGAGGCAAATCAACTTCCAACCATTGCTATTGTGGCATCTTATGATACTTTTGGGGCTGCTCCTGTACGTACTTTACTTAATTTCAATTGAGAATCTGCTTCAATGATCCAAATGAAGTTGTGAGAAATTTTTTATAAATGTAGGCATTATCAGTAGGAAGTGACAGCAATGGAAGTGGCGTTGTGGCACTTCTTGAAGTAGCTAGGTTATTCTCACTTCTCTACTCAAATCCTAAGACAAGAGGACGGTACAATTTACTTTTTGGCCTGACATCTGGTGGACCATATAACTACAATGGGACTCAGAAGGTATTAGTTTTCCTTGGTGAATTGAATTTCTGTCATCTTTCTGAGGCTTGTATATCTATCTTGTTACTTTTGTTACTATGGTCATATAAGCATCATATTCTGTGCAGTGGCTTCGGAGTTTTGATCAACGTTTACATGAGAGTATTGACTATGCTATTTGCTTAAATAGTATTGGTTCATGGGATAATGAGTTGTGGATTCATGTGTCCAAGCCACCAGAGAATGCCTACATCAAGCAAATTTTTTATGTAAGCCGCTAACATCTGGAATAACAGGTTTTGAAGGCAGTATATGATATTCAGTTTCCTTTACATGGCTCATAATCTGATACGTGGTGTTTATTGAAGGGTTTCTCTAATGTAGCAGAGGAGCTGGACCTCAAAGTTGGCATGAAACACAAGAAAATAAACATATCCAATCCTCGAGTAAGTTGATATATGTATATGTTTCAATGTTTGAACCATCTTCTGCTACCATTTTGTGCAATTATTAGTATTTGTGTATTATTCAATTTCATCTATGAGGACCATTGAAATTTTAAGGTGATATATCTTGAATGAATATATTTTTGTGGTTTCTCATAGCAGCAGTAATTCCTTAGGCCTTTTATGGTCCTGGACTATGTTGAGCAGAACATGTTTTCTGGAGAATGCTTAACTTAATCTTGAAATAAATCTGTTAAATCTGAACTTTGTGCCATTTCTGGTAACAATATGATGTTAAACATGAAGATGCAGCACGTCTATTTATGAGAACATTCTATGGATAGATATAAGAATGCTGTGTGCTTGCATTTCTGCTGCTTAGATCAGGTAATAAAGCAGTTGAGCTGCTGTAGGTAGCTTGGGAGCATGAACAGTTCTCTAGGCTGAGAGTCACTGCTGCCACTCTTTCTGAATTCTCTGTTGCGCCTGAACTCCTAGAAGGCACTGGAGGTCTGTTTGATAACAGGTCATCTTTTCAAACTCTAGCCCTTATTAATCCAATTGCAAGAGTGTATGTGTCTGTGTTCGAGACTAGTTGCTGAGAGCTGGATGTTTTTTGCAGACAATTTGTGAATGAAACTGCAATTATTAGAGGTGTGAAGTTAGTTGCTGAAAGTCTTGCGGTAAGATCAACTGATCTGCAAGTATATATTGATTTAATGTTTTTTGGAAAGCTATGCTTATAATAAAATGAGTTTATACTTGCAAGACATAACATCCTAACCCCTCTTTCTTATGAGTTAGCATAAAGAAATGGAAAATTTTTATTTTGCAATATTTATCAGAACCTGCAACCTATTGGAACGGACTTAGTGGACCAATTACATCCATGTCTGATCTCTACCAAAGCAATGGCAAATGTGATAGTGACATGAATAATTTATCATGTGATTCTCATTTGGAATGTAATGAATTTGCATGTAAAAGCATAGAAGTGAAAATTTCACCAGTGCATATTAAAACATAGGATAAATTAAATACATTCTCCCTGGAGAATTATAGTAGTATTTATGTTGATTATTGTTGCAATTTAATCTTTTGGACATTTGAGGTGAAGGCGCAAATATGCTCTTGTAAAATAATGGAATTTGGGGGATGCTTATGTTAGAAGAGGAACGGGAAGACCAAAGAAAATATGTGTGGGAAGTATGAAAAGGAACATGCTTTTACTGGTCTTATTCTATATAGAGCACAATAGTATATGATCTATGTAACTCGACCAACTAGTTAAAGGCTGTGTGTTGGCAGTTGTTGTCATTGCTATTTTATATATATATAGTAAGAGTATTTAGATAGTAGATAACTTGTCACTTGTGTGCAAAGACATTAAGGTTTAATAATTTACTTGTGCATGGACATGTACTGTTTATTTAAAAAGTGTCTTTTCCTTTCTTTTTGCAGAGGCATATCTATGGCCACCAGGGAAAAAATGTCCAAATTTTTGCAGATGACAGTAGTTTGGCTGTCAATCCTGCTTATGTGCAATCTTGGCTGGATCTTTTGTCACGAACACCTCGAGTGGCTCCATTTCTTTCAAAGAATGACCCTTTTGTCATGGCATTGAAAAAGGTTTATCTTCTATTTGTTTTCTTGATCTTCTCCTTTATGTTTCTTGTTTCTTTAAGATGGTAATTTACACTTTAACATTTGTATTGACTTTCCTGAGAGTTGAGTTTAGGTTAAAAGAATCAAAGTGAAGGAAAATCAACTATATGATATTTAAGATACCAGGATTGTTAAATGTCTTGGATAAGTGCTTTACCAATTGGGAATTTGATGATAGAAACCTCTTTGCTTTTATGAAGAGATGTTGCATGTACGATTAATCAGAAGCAAGAGTAAAGAAAAAGTTACCTATATTTCATTCTAGGTTGCATGCATCACTTCAAAACTTTTACTCTCTTCTACCAATTGGATGAACTGTTGGTAAATATAGCTGAACATACTCTTTGGATAGGGAGGGATTAACGATTTAGGGTAAATGGTGGAAACACTGAATGACTTGCCTTATGCTTTCTATCACTTTCAATTCTAACTCGCTATTTGTTTCACTCAATGGCAGGAATTAGCTGATCATACCGATGAAGTGAAAATGCAACATGAGATTCTTGAAGGGATATTCACTTTTTATGATTCAACTAGCGCTAGGCTTAACATATACCAGGTAATTACTATATTCACATATGGTAAATATTTTAATTTTTGCTTAAATGTTCTATCTCTTTCTCATTCTTTCTCATGGTTGAATTTTAACTCGTCAATCTTTTTGTGGGAATATTATTAATGTCAGTTGAGACAATATGGAGATATAGACAGGCGTTGTTTCTTTCTATCTTGTACTCGTTTTTTTTTTTTTTTTTGTAACCACCGAAGATAATGACCAGGTTTAAACGCGATGTTACAGGTTGCTAGTGTAACATTTGACTTGCTGTTACTTCTTGTGTTGGGATCATATTTGATAGTGCTCTTCAGTTTTCTTGTCATCACGACTAGGGTACACTCTCCACTATTAAGCAAACCTTCAATGTTGATGTCAATGTTGATGTCGATCCTAATATTCAACTACTTATTCGATGTGAATTTTTTTTTTAAATGATAATTTAATGACAATGCTGTTATACAGGGTCTTGATGATCTGATCAGTTTATTTCGACGGCCCCCCTCTCGAAAGGTGAAAACGGCTTGATCGCTGAAGCCGCAATGTATGCGAATGATTGTACGCAAGGTTTTTTATGATGTAGCTTAAACTAAAATCTCCACGAAGGTTCCCTAGTGGTTTTCACTGATGTTTTTGTTAGTTTTAGTTCATTTTAAATCTTGTTCCAAAATAGAGGGTATAATTTCTTTTTCCATAATTAGATCAATCAAGGTTAGAGAAAAATTTTGCCTAGATCCATCTGACATTGTATTCTATTTTATTTTTGTTTTGTTTCATTCTTCTCTGGGTTTGCCCAACTCAAGATAATCTACTTAGGGACTATAAATAAACAAATACGAGGACCTAGAGTAATAACAAAAAAATTATGATATTAAAGAATTATAATTAAAAAAGATCTAATCTAAAATGTCTTTTTAATAAAATTCTTGTTTGTTTTTTTTTTTTATTATTATTATTTATATTTTATATCATATTTTCCTTAAATGAATATTATCTTTATATTGATATGGTTTTGATTTATTCAATTTTAATATTATCAGTCATAACTTGAATAGGAATTATTATATATATATATTATATTAAAACATACAAGGATATTTAATAAGATTTGTCTCGTGGACATTCAGATGAATATATATATTTTTTGGCATATGGATAATACTTATTATACATGATTTAAATTCAAATATCAAAATTTTCAAAAATAAAATCTTACTTAAATATAATTTTTTTTCAAAAAAAAAAAATTTAGCAATTTGTAATAAAAATAGAAAATTTTAAAAAATTAATCTTATTTGATTAAAATTCTATCTAGACATATCTCTTCTTAAATTAAAAATTTTTAAATGGATATTTTTACTTTGGTAACTTTCTTTATAATCCATTAGTTTTTTTTTAATTAAAAAATATAAATATCATTTATTTTTTTTTAATTCAAAAGATATTTATAATCAATTTAATATGATTTGATATATTAATTATAATATATATTATATATTTTTAAATATGCAAGTGATTAAATAATATTAATTTAAACTTTTACACATTTAAATAAATAAAACTATTCATATATCATATGAGTAGTAAGTTAGTATATATTATATTACAATATACAAATATACATGATAAAATTTGTCACGTGAACATTTAGATAAACATATTTTTTCAACACATGGACAATAACTATTACGTATGATTTAAATTTAAATATCAAAATTTTTGAAAATAAAATTTCACCCAAATTATTTGATTAATTCTCATGATTTTTTTAAATAAAAAATTTCAATAAATTATAATAAAAATATAAAACTTAAAAATATTAATTTAGATAGAACTTAAAAATATTAATCTTATCCGATTAAAATTTCACCTAGAAATCTCATTTTAAATTAAAATTTTCCAATGAATATTTTTACTTCAGTAACTTTCTATATAATCCTTAAATTTTTTAAAAAAAATTTAAAAACACAAATATCACTTATTATATATATTTTAAATTTTAAAAATATTTATAATTAATTTATTATGATTTGATATCTTAACTATAATATATGTATTATATATTTTTTAAATAGGAAAGCAATTAAATAATATTAATTTATATTTTTACACATTTAAATAAGTAAAAATAATCCGTATGGATAACAAACTAATTATGAGTACTAATTTAAAAAGAATATCTAATGGTATCAGTTTAGGGTTTTTGCTTAAAAAATAAAACAACCTGTTCCTTCATTCCAATGTATGTGGATTTCATTCGATTCAAAAATTGCTTTTGGCCAGAATTGGATCGGGTTGACTAATCAGCAATAAGTAATAAAACTTTTATGAATGGTAACTTTTTGCAACACCGATTTACTCATTTCCCAATAAACTAATTGCTTAAATTTGTTAGATTTTTACTATATTGGACTGTAGAAAATAACAATATATATATATATATATATACACACTATCATGAATGGGCAGAATGGCCACACAAGAAGTGCAGTTCGTTTACACTAACCACATTACCATGGCAAAATCATATTATGTATTACTATATTGGATTATAAGGACTCCACCAAATCCATTGAGGAAAGATAAAATGCTATACCAAATTGGGTTTTGATCTTCTAGTAAAGGAGGCAAAGGGAGGAGAAACCAAAACGTCCTGAACAATAGAACAAAAAGAAAACCTCAATTTGGTGTTCAGGAATGGTGTGCATTGAGCAGTGCTCGGTGGACCATGTCGACGAATTGATTGTCCTGACACATTTGCAATGCTGGTCAGATGCATGGGAAAATGAGTAAATGACAGTTAAAAAAACTAAAGTTCTTCCGTAATCAACATTCTTTAAAGTGCATAGTCCAAAGATCCTTTCCATCAGCTTTGAGTCTAGATTGGAACATTGCCAATAGACAGTAAACGAACCTGAATGAGAGCCAAAAGAGCATCCCGAACTTTTTCTCTGCTGATAGATAGACCATAGTTTTGAATGGGAACAGGAGCAGGAGTGAGAGATGGTGATGGAGTGGGTGGTGGAAAAGGTTGAAGCAAGGGAGCACCATACAGGCGTTGTTGACTCGGAGGAGGGTTAAGTAGAGGAGCAATGGGGATAGATGTAGAGAAAGGTGGCACTATCTGTGCCGAAGAGGAAGGCGGTACAAAGAACGCTGAGGGCTTTACAAGATTAGTATGATTGCTTCTGGATTCAGAGGTATCAAGTAGTGGCATCAAAGGAGTAGAAGATGATAGAGGAGATGGTAGTTGCAAAGCTGGCACCGTAGGGGAGGCAACATTGGCTGCTTTAGAAGGTGCAGGCATTGCTGCAGAAGTCTGGTATGTTTGTCCAGAAACTGCTGCATTTGAAGCACTTCCAACGGTCATAGCTGTCTGCAATCATGTAACAAAAGGATTAAAATATAGTCATTCATAAGAAATGTTGTTCCAATGCCCAACATACTGAACACTTCAGAATCCTTATAAAGAAAATCTTAAATCACATTGACCATTTAATAATGATACCTCTTAGCCCTTGATGCATGTTAATTAGTTCTTTCTTTTAGTTGCAATTTCTAAGGTAAAAGTGGCATAAAAAAAAGAAAACAACCAGTGTTTGTTCATTTATCTTAGTGGATGAACTTATGGACTAAGAAAAGATAGAGTTGAAATTTAGAAATTACAAACTAGATAGGATGCAGTCCCTCTCCTCATAATAAACATAATTCACTAAACAATTAGATTCAGTGTGCTATCCTAGGAAACTTAGCAACAGCCATATCTTTGCTGTGGAAGCAAAAATAAATTTTCGTTCATTAACTAAGTAAAATCAATCTGTCATCATAGAGCTCACCTTAGGGCAAAGCAACACACAAGGAGGCAAGTTATAATCATAGGGTGACAATTTTCTATATGCATGTAATCAGAGGCCAGAATTGAATGCACTAAAAATTACTTCGTTAAGGTAACAATGTTTAGAAAAATGCGTACACTGAAGAAATTCACAAAGACAGGATCATCAGGGACACCAGCAGCACTGGATGCAGTTGATGATGATGACGACTCCAAATGACCGGCCATAACGGCCATTGTTGAGACAGCCTCCAATTCTTCAAACTCACTGCATTTGTAAATAATATCATTACTAGGAAATTTGCAAAAAAGTAAGGAAGCTTGGAATATCTAGGAAGCTTACAAAGCAGATATAATGGCATCACAATTGGTGCATTTACCATTCATTGCAGTTAAAATTTTACAACTGAAAACAGAATTGTACATTTTAAAGAAAGAATTTCCTCTAAATATATTACCAGAAAAGCTTGAAAATTGGGCAGGATCTCAAAAACAGGGGATTTTCTACTAAATGAAATCAAAGCAAGGTGCAGGCCTCAACAAAATCACAATTATCCAGCACCAAAGTGGTAGAAGGAAAAAGAAGGGTTGGCGAGTCCACTATGATAATAAACTCAGGTAAGTCAATTTAGATAATAGGTAGCAGAATATAACTGTTGAAATAATTTCTAGTGCTTGGAAACTGCAAGGTTGATTGAAAAACTCAAAGATCACAATTATAAAGTACTAAAAGTCGAGAAAATTCAACTTGATGTTGAAGTAATATAGATATATTGATAACTAAGCACAATGCTAATTTTCAAGTAAATAAAGGAATATATTCGTGGACAATAGAAAAGAGGGGACTATAATGCTTACTCTTCGGTTGATGATACCTTTGACTTCTGGGGCACCTTTGAGTATGCAGTAAGAATCCTGAAGAAGCCAAGGCACATAAAATGACATAAATAAGCAATTAAAAATATCATAAAATTTTCACCACACAAACATGAAAACCTTCTTAAGAAAGCTTGTGAACATAAGCTGACCCAGCTTGAATTCAAGCTTGTAGTTACAAGATATGCCTCAAAATGAGCTCACAACACATAATGAGCGAAACCTCCTCTTATTGCTTAAAATACATGGGCCAAGCTAAGCTGTCCTAAACACTTGCACTTGACAACTCACTTGTGTTTGAGCACTGTTCGCTGCCTTCCTCAAATGTAAAGTCTTAAATAATGGGTGAGCTAATTGTTATTAACAACTCAAAATAGGAAATGAAAAGCCAACAAAATTATCAGAGAGGCTCTCCTAAGTGGAGAAATTAACACTCAAGTTCCAAACAATCACATCTACTGCAAACAGTGCCTACGAAAATGTTAACGAGGTCCACGATCATGGTAAGACAGAAAATCAGAATTCTTTTATTACTATTATGGCCCAAAAGGTCTACTAACAATGCATCAAACGACCCATGGTTCAAACTTGGCACAGAGAGAAGATGTATATACATTTTTCTGTTGCCCAAAAACATACAAAGACAAACAAACGACAAAAAATTAACTGTACCTGCTAAAAAGATTTGCAACCTCCTCAAGCTCACGTGCATCATAGAACCAAATACCATTTATTTCCTGAGAAGCATTACGGTATAGTAGATATTTATCCTGAACTTCATACTCGAAATCTCCCAAGAGATTTTCCACAAAATTTTCTGTTTATAAAGGTTCATTGAAACTACTTAGTAAACAAACAAAACTTTCTTATGAGATTCATTTCTTAGCTTAATCTACCAAATTGTGCAAAAAGACTGATCATAGAATAAATTACATGAATCAAGACACTAAAATGACGATTAAATCAGCCATATCTGCTATTCAAGTTCTAAGCATACAAATGTTAAGCAATGATAAATGAAGCACAGGGACAGCGTGGCACCAACCAGTGTTGCGTCTATTCATCACAATAAACTGAAACCTAGGCTGCGTATTCCTGAATTATGAACGGAAAGAAATATCATAAATTATTAAAAAAATCAAATGAAAATGTAAAAAGAAAAAGAAAACTTTCAAAGTTACCTCTTGACAACAAAAAGAGATCCTTCAACGTCCTTTCGGCTCTGCAGAAACAACAAAGAAAAAATGGTTAACAAAAAGAAGCAAAAGTTAAAGGTAAAAAAAAAAAAAAGCTTAGAAACAGGTAATAATTAACCCATTACCCATTGGCTAAGGTCAACGTTGAACTCGTAGAAGGCGACATGAGCGGCGGTGATGAGAATTTCCTCGATGAAAGGGTCGATACGACGGAGGACCGTTAGATTGAGCAGCTTGGTTCTTTGTTGGTCCAGATTAGGCATTAATTTCCCGTATTGCTGCGACATTATTTTTTTCGCTAATTAAAAAATAAACTGAAAAAACCCTAGAGTTTGATGGAGTTTTCGTCCTTTCGGAAAATGAAAGTGAAAGAGAAATTGCACGTATATATAGAAGAACAAAAGAAAGTAAGAAAGAATGATGGAAATGTAGTGATGCGAAGTCGAAGTCTGCTTGCTTGGCAAGCTTTTTAAGCTGTTAGTTTGTTTTGTTCAATTAGTTGGAAGTTGGAGTTACTAATTTACCCTTCACCCTATATTAAGTAACAACAGGGACAACTTCTGTTTTAAGTAGAAATCGTTTAATTCGTGTAATATAAAATATTAAAATTTATATATTTATATCATATTTTATATAAAAATTATATATTATAATTTATATCGATATAAAAATATAAAATATTTTTTATTTTATTAAATTTAAATATAATAATTATTAAAATTTTAAATTATATTATTTTTTATATTATATATTTATATTATATTTATATCATTTTATCATATCGTATTTTAAATTATCATATTTTTTAAGATATCGAGTTGATTCACTATATGATCACGTCAATAAATAAAAGATATAATAAAATTTATGTAAACGTGAATTCGTCCATGGTAATGTAACAACTCTTAAATATTTAATTATGAGATTAAAAACATGATTTTGGTTAATATCTCATATATTTAAAAAAAAAAAAAAAGCTAATAATGTCTTTGATTACAAATAACTAAAATCTATTCCTTAACTGTTTTTAATAAAATATTTTACAAAAACATAACTTTGAATCATCTCATCCAATAATAATATTTAAATAAAATCTAATAATATTTTTTTATTTAAGATACTAACCAAATCCAATTAATAATAAGTGAAAAATCATAATTTGATTATAAAATCATAAAAAATCTAGTATTTATCAGATGCGAAATAAAATCACTTTAATATCAAATTTAACAGATATTACCCAATTTAACAATGAACAATTGAAATTTACTACTCTTAAAAGCAATTTCGTCTATGATACTTTTTATCATACATTGCAACCTGTAGACATGATATTTGAGGGTAATCTTTTTCTAAGCTAAATCATTTTATTAACTTGGAATTTAGATCAACACATCTACTAACCGTCTGGCGTGCTTTTAGTAAATTGGTATTGTTTTATTTTTACCAAGGCTACAACATTAGCAATGGCGGGAGACGGAAGCCAATATTTTTATGAATTACGGCGCTTTACACAGCCTGCTACTAATTTTGTGCACTAGTCTGTAACTCACTCTGTTGCTTTGCCATTGCGTCTGCTGCTACTGCCGGTTTCTACGAGAAAACAGACCATGGAATCGACATCATCCCCGAATACGCTATAAGCTTCAAGTGCCTGCAGATAAATAGCTGAGTCCCATTGACAACAGTAATTGCATGCCGCTGCTAAGAACAGTATCCTGCAAACCACTGCCTCTAACACTACTCACTAGCTCCAGATGCCGATGGTTAAGCAGTGGAAGCAGATGATTCTTTACGGCCTACTTGCGACTTAAACATGTCACTGGCAAAGTACCCGGCTCGAGAAACTTCCATAACCATTCGCTTAGTTTCCTTCTCAGTAAGCTCAAGATCAGATTAAAATCGCCCCTCAGCCAGGAGTCCATGTTTGTATGCAGTATAAAAGAGAAAGAAGCTGTTAATAACATTTCATCCTAAACACAAAGATTAATTTCAAACTATCGAAATACTTGCATTGTCAATCTGTTGGTCTTGTTGAGCTAGCTTTAATAGCAGCCTTGACTTGATCCTTGTCCAAGTTTGCCTGCACAGCCGAACACAGGCGGCAACATAAATCCAGTTTGACAATCTAATTTATTCAAACTCCGTATTCAAGTTGAAAAAATTTCGCCATCAAAGCCTCACATGCAAATTCAGTTTCATACCATTAGATAGCCAAAAGCAATAGAGCATGTTCTTACCAAGGGACGAAGAAGAGAGAAAGCTGTAGAAAAAGAAACGTACCCACGAAGACAGCTGAATCCAAGCCCAGCACCTATTGTCAAACGTGGGCCAACAAGAGAGCTGCAATGGTTCCAACGATGGTAGCTCAGCCTTGTGGGACACATGGCGAGTTGGCCAGGTGTTTGGTCATGGTACGACGGGTTATATTGTAGAGTGACGTGGCGAGAAATGATTGGATAAGAAGCTTATTACTTGTGATTTGTTTTAGTTCATGTGTTGGAAAGTTTCAGAGTGGATTCCTCTCTTTACTTCTCCGAAACTGAAACTCAGCAAATTTTTTTTTCTTTTTAATTTTTTTGAAAATATTTTAAAAATTATTGTAATTATTTTTTACATTTAAAAGTATTAAATATTTTGTTTTGATTACAGCAGCGGATAATGTTTAAAAAGTAATAAAATGAAGAAATTTATAAGAACCAAAAATTACATATAATTACTTAAAAAACCAACAAAAGGTTTTGAATAAATAAACAAAGTTAGATTAATACATAGTTACGTATGTTTGTTAAAACTTTTAAATTTAAAAAAATATTTTTTAAAATATGAGTTTGGTGCTTACAAACCCTATATTAATTTGTTTTAAAATTGTTGCTAATTAAAATATTTTTTAGCAAAATATTAAATAAAATATTGATTTGGAAAATAATAGAATGATGGTTTAGAAACCCTTTAATAATGTGATTTGTTGATATAATATCGGATTCTTAATTTTAATGAATAAATTTTAAAATTTTTATAATTTTGAATAAAAAAATAATAATAAAATTAATTGGTGGATGCTAATTTAAATAAAACTGCATAACCTCAAAACTCCCCATCCAATATTCCCTCCTTATTAAGTTTGATTTGGGACCATTTGAACCTTGATAGTACATACATCACCGTGCTATAGGTTAATATTTGAATTTTTTAATTATTATATTTCAATTTTATTGAAATTTATCATTGTATTTATAATTTTATAGATTTTTAAATATCAAGTAATGAAATCTATGAAAATTTATCATTTATATTAACTAATATTTTGTAAAATATTTCAATTGCGTTATTTTTATTAAAAAATCAATGAAATTAAAAGTATAATGATAAAATATGCCTTTTGTATTAATATAATATTTTTATGAAATATTTTAATTTTATTATTTTTTATGAAAATCAATAAAATTAAAAATACAATGATAAAATTCAATAAAACTAAAATATAATAACAAAATTCAATAGTCAATCATAATATAGTGATAACTTTCATGTTTATTTTCAAAATTCTTTTACTTGTTGGAGAATATTATAATTCTGATATCATTTGTTGGGTTAAGAGCTTCCAATCAAATCACACTAACGGAAGCGAAATCAAATAATAAATCAAACACACAAGAGACAATAATTTAACGTGATTCAGTTCAATTGACCTACATCCATGTATGAGAAACAAAATCTAGTAATTGTAAAAAATTACAAACTTACATCAAACCATCACTCTCACTCAACAATCAATACTCATAAGACACTCTCAATCTTTTTTAGTCTTATAAAGTATTCTCAACCCAAACAAATATAAATCCAAACTCTTGTGCATCCTTTTCAACATAACCAAATACATACCTATATGCTCCCATACATCATACTTATGTGAAGCTTCTCAACTTCCTCAATCCACTCACAAACAAACTCACAAACAAACATATACAACTATAAGACGTAGAGCCTCAATACTTTTATGAGGTGTCTATCCCACAAAAACCCTACAACTCTCTTATATCTTTTTCTCATACCTAACCCTGTAAAAACTTCACCTATTTATAACCATACAAACTTGCACATTAAGAATCTCTCTCTTCTTAAAATTCTTCTCCTGTAAGTCAAACTTATCTATTAAGAATTCATTTACTTTTAGAATTATTTTCTTGTAAGTCAAACTTATATATTAAGAATCATCTTTTTCTTAAAATTCTTCTTTTGCAAGTTTTCTCGTCCATCTAAAAATATCTAATAAATTCTAAACAAATTTCTTATGAGATTTGAGTTAATATTTTTAATATTACTAACATTTATGGAACAAAACTAATCACATATTTATTGTCCTTTTTGTTTTATAAAATATTCATTTATCACGTTAAAATTGTGACTGTGATGAACCCATAGTTGCCAACAATTTGCATTTCTTTTTATTTTTCAAGTTCAAAGATAATTTATATGTTTTACTTAGCAAATCTATCTTATAGACTATTATTAATAATTAATGTTTGTTTAAGTCTATTTACACTTTTTTTTAAAGAGATTGTAATTTAAAAATAAAAAATAAATTATACGTATTAAAATTTAAAATTTAAAATTATCAAATGTTACTTCTTTAAATATAAATATATGAATGATAGAGTTAATTTAATTTACAAATAAGATTATTAACTGGTATTAGTTTTGTATGGTGAAAGTTATAATGCAATGTTACATTAAAAGCTGAACATACAATTACTCCAAAAGCAAATCAATGATATCAACCAACCACAAACACTATTCAGAAGTCGATGGAAACAGAAAAGTGATCCACCCCTTTATTTATTTATTTATTTTATCATAATTTAACACTTAAAGCAGTAAAAATCAAGTCCATCATGATATGCTATAATTTCACCATGGGAAGTGTCAAAGTTATTTCCTTTTGTGATTTCTCAGCTTCTTTTGAGAGCAAAAGCAGAGAGCAGAATTATAAACATGAGGATGGATCCAGCTATGAAGGAACCCACCACAGCTCCACTTACTTTCTGGCAAAAGTCTCCAAACTGCTGACAAATAGCAAGCCAATTCGTGTTTGGATTCCCGTTATGAGCCAAATACACAATGGAAGCAGAAGCTGAAGCCGAAGCTATAGTTAGACCCATCATCACCTGCAAAAATCCAGGAAATATAATTAATGTTATTATTACAGTAACTACTCTACAATCTACATACAAAAGCAAGAGGTTTGGAGATGATGGCGAGTTCATTTTACTGTATCAAAGATGACAAGGAGGAGCCTTGGTGCTGTTGCATAAGGACGAATGATGCAGATAATGGAGAATGGCAAGGAGAGGAGAAGATAACCGGCAACTATTGCATTTGCTATCACGAAAAACCTGTAAAATTAAGCAATAGATCAGGTAAGTAATGTTAAATGGAAAGTAGTTTTTGTCACATGAAAAACATACTCGAAAGCTGGAATATCATTGTATTGAGCTTGGAACTGGAAGAACTGTGTGAAAAAAGGGAGGGTCTCATTAGTAGTCCCCATGGTAGCAGTGGCACCTATGGCTGCCCCAAGGGCACAGAGCCTTAAAAGGAAGTCACAAATGGCAATGCCTTTTTTCAATCCTCGTTTTGGTTGTTCGACCATAGCTTTTGAAGAGACTGCCAGAGGGGCTTTTCCTTTAGCATTGGCCTTTGTCTCAGGTATGTTGATTGCTGTCTCCCCACTCCTGTCTGTCTCCATTACTGATATGTTGGTAGAGGATAAGGAATAAGATTAATGAGAAGATATTTCTTGAAAGAAAAATGGAAGATTTGATATGGAAAGCCTGGGTAGAATGCTGTGTTACATAGGAGAACAAAGAAAACTAAAAAAATAGTAGTGGGTTAGATATATCTTTGATATTGCTGATACTACCATTTTAGTATGTGGATTGGAGTTGTTGCAAGGCTGATGCTAACTTGCTCCACTTCCAATAAATTCATGCGAAGATGTTAAGGAAAAGATTGATTTTGCTGAAGGATCTCAGTTGTGACGTATTCAATATCTAAATACATCCAATCACTTTGAGGGAGAGGGAGTAGTTGTGTGAGTAACCTTCGTTCACCAAAAAGTAAATCTGTTTCAAATGTTTTTCGTTCCCTGAGGACTGAGATCATACATGAATAAAGAACCAGCAAAAACCTTAAGTAAGGTTGAGTTTGATTTAGTTGATTCATGTAATATTTTTTTTAAGAGGTGATATCTAATAAATTTAAATTTTGAATCTCAACATTGCAACCTCTTATCTTATTCTTACGCTACCACTTCCTTTGTAAAAAAATAAACAAATAAAATAATACGGCATAAAACTTGGTTTCAGTTTAATACTCTCATTCCACAAGATTAGTCTTCCATCATTCAGCATCGCTCCTGAATATCCGAAGCCAAAAATATAGCCTAAGTTGTCTAAATTGATAGGTATCGGCTCAAGAATTTTGTCACCAGGTAATTACTCTCGATATCTCTCAATGGCAGCACAAACTATGTTGATGTTTCTAAGCAATTTACAGATACTTTTCCAACAGGTCATAATGAGAAGTATTTCATGGTCATTTCAAGTATATAGAAGTGTGGAACTGATATTGTTACTGAACACCCAAAATTAAACTTCTATGGCAACTTGCTCATGGTCTCCGGAAAGGGATCGAACAGTTGATTAATTCCAGAAACAGTGTACCATCTTAACTATAAGCGAAGTCAAGAAGTTTAAAACACCTGCAGACCATTTTTCTTAGCAACCGTCCGATGGTTACATTTGAGAAAATATTGACATATTTGACAATAAATGCACTCTGGGAGAGAGGAACAGTATGAGGGAGTATGAATATTGTCACGTAGCAGATCTATCAAATTCAAATGAGATTAACCTGTGATTGTGTCCATGCAAGTGTTAAAGACACTATTTCATACAGCAACAAAAAACAGGAAATGACAGAAGGTAGAAGACAAATGAATGTTGCAAGAGAGAGATGTTGGCATGACGTGTGGTCAAATTTCATTTCATCAGATCTGTTTTTCAGGTGTGTAAATAAAAGCAATAAATCAGTTTAATTTACAAAAAGAAATATATATTTGAGACAAAACTTTACCATATAGCCTCTCAAGAGGGCTTTAAGTACCGCTGCAAAAAAAATATGACTGCACCCCTCTTCATACTTTACAAGCCTCTCTAAATATTTAAGGCTTTATTCTACATGTATCATGTTTGAAAATCCCTGATGAGGAAAGAATGAATTTGAAGCTGGTGTTCCTATATGCTATTCAACAAACCCAATTTTGAAGGCTTCAACTTTCAAACAAGATGAAAATCAACGTGTTTACAACAAGAATTATCAACACCTTCATTATGGTCGAACCCTCCACCCACGCTCAGAAAGTGCTTCACGCACCCGATTTGCTGCTTCTGCTGTGTCATTGAGGGGAGGATAGCTCCAGCTTTCTGCAATCTAAAAGAAAAACAAAGGAAATAATTCAGATAATTAAATCCCAAAGGACATTCACTACTCCATCTACTTCAGTTATAATGGTGGAAAGAGCAGAAAATATATTAGGAATCAGGTTCAGTTCAGTCTGGTGGTCAGGTGTAAATATGACTTTATCCAGTCTTATGAAACTGAGTTAAAAGATAAGGGGAAGAAACAAAAGGAAATCAAAACATGCCATTGGATATTTACTTACATCTTCAGAACCCGTAAAAGGCCGAACCACTCCTCGTTCCCTCAAAGATTTATGGAAGTCTGATAATTTCCATTTACAACGCTCAACTCCCATAACATAGACAGGTTTCCTGCAAGAAACCAATTGTGAATGATTAACTCGCCATTTCAATGAACAGAATAAAAATCCCAAAAAGTTCCAACATGTTCTAAAAAATCAGTAAAGAATGATGAAGTTTTTCTCCATCATACCCAGTACTACAAGCCTCACTTATCAGACTGACTGAATCTGCTGTAATGACAAAAGCATCCGCCCAAGCTAAATGCCCCATGCATGGATTTGGCTCTGAAGATCATCATAAACAAAATCATTAAAAATGTTCTATATTTCCTTGTAAATTAAATTTAATTGACTGAAAATACCTTGACCATCCCAGATGTAAACTTTTGGATTATCTGCAAGTTCTTTGACAATGACTTTTGATACCTGTAGGAAAATTGATGGGTAAAAACAACATAATATTAGTCGTCATAGAAGGTAAGTAAGAAAGAAATTATACGTGAAATTGTCATTTATTAAAACCTTTTCAGGTGTCCTACTGGAGAAAGATATTCGGACAGTCCCACAGCTTGTAAGGATGCTGAGAAGAGAAGCAGTTAGCTGCTTTGCAAGATCTGCACCATATCGACAGTGGCCTGCAAAGAATTCAAGCAGCAGATAAAATATACACATATTACATTTAGGCGTAAGGTAAAGAGCAATAAGAGAATTAAAAAGAAAAAAAAGAATCTTAATTCAAGTATCTAACCACAAAATTCAAATAGTTTTTGGAGGTTAAGAGAAAAGAGGCCCTGCTCCTAGTCATTACTTTATCTAGATTCAAAAAATACTACATCCTGAGGGAAGTTTATGAAGTATGACAATCATGTAAAATTTTCAGCATGAAGCAGTTTATATATATAAAAGCAAAAATGAGGATAAAAGACCAAGTTTGATAGCAAAGGATGCATTATTTGTTAAGTGGCAACCATAAAGGCTAAAGATCCCTAACCAACAATAAGAGTTATATGTATAATAAGCACAAGATTTAATCAGACAAACCCATTGTCCATATCCATAAGATAGAATAGGAAGCTCCAAGCATAGTGGCAGGCAGACTTGAAATCAATAATCAAGAGCAAATTCCTGTGGGCTAATAAAACATTAGAATCTCAAAGCAAGACAAAAAATTACTCGTAGGCCAGCCAATGTTAACCACCAGGAAGGGCTTTGGCAGAGGTGCAAATTCATCATGCCATGCAGCAGCTGCACTGCGGAGTGCGGCAGATTCAATTTGATGTAGAGCTCCCATTGTAAGTACCTGACGTAAAATGTTGAAAACAAGCCTACCTTCAGTAGTAGACAGAAATAATAATGTAACCAAAGGTAGGGTTCCTAATGTCAAGCAACAAAATTTAGTAACATAGACTCACAGTACATACCACATGCCTGTCAGGAGGTTCACGTGGAGTGATCCACCTGTGAAGAAACCGAGGAACCTGCTCTTGTGCTTGAGGAGTTAAAGGATAGAAGTCATGACGAGGGGTGATCACCAAATCAAACCTATTCAATTTTGACCTAGGGTGTTTTATCTGCAATTTAAAGACAAAAACTGATATTTAGAGCAATTGAATAATGTTATCATAATCTGGAAACATGCCAAAAGAGTTGAATCACAATCTGTAACAAAAGATTTAACTGATGTTGAGCTACAAGATCGAAAGCAATTAAGGATGACACAAGCATAAGTGAGATAGAGAAAGATATGTAGTAGATAGATACTACATAGATACGAGAGAGAGAGAGAGAGAGAGAGAACTTTCCAGATAAAAACTTAAAGTGACATTTTAAACAATAAGACATAGGGCTAATAAGCTAGAAAGCCTAGCAATGCATCAATGAAGACACGATAAATTCATGATATCACCATAATGGAGCAGGTGGAATTTTTTTTTCTATTTTTTTGGGCATAACCATAAATAGAAATAAGGAGGTGCATGATTGGAAGGATGAAAGTTGAAACAAAGTTAAGGTCCATTACAAACCTGAATGACAAAAACATTCTCAGAGGCTAAACGTCTTATAGAACTTGCAATAGAAATGGTGTCTCTTCCAGACGCAACAACCAACAAAGGACCATCCCTGAAAATTTTATCAAATCATTTTCGTAAGTACCCAAACCAAATAATCAACAAAAGATGCCAGATTTTACACTTTAATTAGTTAAACATGTTTTCAACTTATCAAGAAAATGACAAAATACCACTATTCGTTATCATTAGGATGTGAAATCAGGTCCTTTGATATTAATCCATCCAAAATATAACAAGGCATCCTAAAATCTTAATGTGATCCAACAGCTTTAAATTGTGACTGTGCTACTGAAAAACAAGTGTTGCAATATCATCCAAGCAAATGAACTGCACACCATCTAGGCTCGATAAATAGAAGAATTTTCAATAGCTAAATGTTGAAAAAGAAAGTACTTTTCATAAGTCTGGCGTGCCATCGTTACGATCTGCTTAACATCAGCTTCTAAAACAGATGCCAAGCCAACACTACCATTACCACCATTTTCTAAAGGTGAAGGCACAAGTTTCTCTCTTCGGCAGTAAATTCGAATCAGCCGTATGAGATAATCCAACTTTTTGTGAAGACTAACAGGGAGCCAATGAAGCCACTCATTAAGTCCTCCTCTTGGCCGTGTAACTCGCTGCGTATCAGTGTAATGAATTATCAATTAATCATATATCAAAAAGCAAATATTTTTCCAGTAATTATTTGACATTTTATAGAATTAATAACGACCCTAGAAATTAATAGAACAAGCTATAACATTAAGACAAGACTAGCAGAAAATAAAGTGAAAAAAGAAATGGCTTTCTTTAGAATTGTACTTACATATAGAACATGCTTGTCCGATAACCCGAGAGTTCTGATCAATCCGATGCTCTGGTTCTCAGATCCAGGCGAGCCATTTCCGATGACGACGGCGCGTCTGATTACGCTGTAGGCGCCGCCTTCGAAGATCTCCGGCACCCCCATGGTGGGGTTGGGAGGTTCCGGAAGACGTATTGGTCTCATTGAATTTTGGAGACAAAAACCCTAATTCCAAATTTTAAAAATAAATATAGGAATTGAGTAATTCAAGAAAAAGAAAAGAAAGGTAGAAGATGGCCTTGTTTGCTGTGCCTTGTGGCAACTGCAGGTACTTTCCCGACTGTTTTACTAACTTTATTTATTTATTTTTGTTACTTGCTCTATTCTCCAATGCTTTTTTTTTTTTCCTACAAAAGAATTACCAATTTAAACTTTTAAAAACCAGCGAAAATTTGACAAAAATTTGCTTAGAAAATCCTAATTGATTGGAACTCAGAACCTATATGACTTAAAGTTCATATAGCAGCGTGATGGAAGAAACTCTATCGCCATATTGCTTTATAATTGAATGCTTAAAACGTAAGTTATGATCAGATAAGAATCCATCATATCATATTGACAAAAAAAAGTTTTAGAAATTACGTAATATAATAATTAATTTAAAATTTATTTAATTTACATTAAAGATATTTAGATATAATTCAAAAATAATTAGAGAACAATGAACTCAAACTAGCTATCGGAGAACACCAAAAATCAAGCTCTCCTAACCAAACTTTGCTGGAGAATGCTACACAATCAGGATGGGTCATGGGTACAGATTCTTGGCCATAAATATCTTCATAGAATAGAACTAACGAGGTATCCAAAAATTCTGATATGTCCCATGTTTGGACAGCTATGCGGAGCTGCCATCACCTTCTGGAACAGGAGGCAGGAGATCCCACCTAAGTTCCAATTTTTAACATGGGAGTGTGTGCACCAAATTTTCCCAACAAGATCTCTTCTTAAAAAGAGGGGCATGAACATGCAGGAAACGTCTCCGTTATGCCATGCTGAAGAAGAAACAATGCTCCATTTATTACTTAATGTCCAATCGTCAAAACCTGTTGGGAACAATTAGGTCTTCCCGTTTAAGCTCATTTTGACAGAAACTCTATTTGCGGAGAGCGGATTAAGTCTAATGCCACATCCAAATTTGGTATCCAAAGGCATACTCTACCATGGAAAATTGTTTCATTTTTATGTCTCGGGAAATTTGGATGGCTAGAAATTCGCAGGTTTTCAAAGGAAGAGTTTTCCAGGAGAGAGTGGCGATTTATGCAGTTGAACGAGCAACTCAATGCTTTGCATTGACTGGGTAAGTTAGGAAAATCCCTCTGCCCACGATAATTTGAGTTAAGTGGAAACCTCGACCTCAAGGTTGGCATGAAATCAGTACTGATGGGTCTTCATTAAGCTGGAAATCCTGGCAATGCAGGAGCAGGGGCAGTTCTATGAGACATAATGGGATCTGGATTGTGGGCTCATCTAGACACATACCAAGCGACACAAGCGTTGAAGCGGAGCTATCGGCACTTAGAGATGGACTAAAACTAGCCACTCAGGCTGGGGTTAGGAATTTGGAAATTGAAAGTGGATGCCACTGTGGTGATTAAATTGGTCAACAAACCATGAAACTCGTAACCATTTTCTTAGTATTCTCATTTGTGATTGCAGGACTCTTTTGAAAAACTTTCAGCAGACAACAATGAGTCATATTTTCCCTGAAGGAAATCACTGTGCTAATTCGCTGGCTAGGAGAGGGAGCGAAAGAAGAAACTATCTATCTTTAAATTCTGTACGTGTTCCTTATTTTGAAATGTTCTCTGTTGCAACAGACTTTTTATCACATGTTGTTCTAGCCGAGTATCATGGGATGGTGATGTCTCAAACATTATCTTAATTTCTATGAAGGCTGCTTTCTTGACCAAAAATTTTTTTGAATAAATTGTAGGATTTGAGTGAATTTTCTTTTATAGTACATTAAATCTTTAAATAAAATCATGCTATATATATTTAAAATTACTGATTATCAACTCATTCAAGCTGAATTACAAGTTACAACATGATATTACTAAAAAGGAACTCTAATTAAGTTTTGCTTTTGAGTAAATAATTAATTTTGATTAATAATTATTTAATTTAGATTTTACATATAACACAAAAAATAATTAGATTTTGTTGAAGGACTTTCTTTTTCAACTCAGTAGCTGTTTTTTTTTTTCTTTTTTAATGTTACAGAATAATCTCATTTGATAGGGTCACATTCTGATACTGCATCATCAGGAATTTCGTGATGAGATTAATATGGTTCTTGCAAATTTAACTTGAAATGAAGCAAGAAAACAGGAATCAGCAAGACCCTAATTCCATCACTAAATGGTTTCGAGAGCTAGATTTCCCAACATTTTAACCAGAGGGACAGGGCATTTTGAGATAATATCAAACCTGGAGGAATTTGAGGCATGTCCAAACAAAGACAAGCTACAACAAGCGAGTTCAGGGAGAGACAGCCGCGAGGAGAGGAAGCCATGCCAATAATAAGGTTCCAGATCAAAGAAGGCTTGAAAGAAACCCCTGGTTCCCATCAAGTCAAGCTTCAATAGAGTTTCCATGCCGAAAGAGTAAAATTCTCTTGTATGTCTCTTCTCAATCGGCCACAATCCATGCCATACTTTATGGTAAAGTGGTCTTCCTCTAATCATCCTTGTTGAACCAAGACATTCTGCAATAGCTTCAGCCACAAGTGGGGCTAAAGCCATTGTCCGAGCCACCATGTACCCTGTTGAAGGATGGACTACCCCAGAAACCCCACCTATTGCCATTACATTTTGAGGGATTCTAGGGAGAGGACCACCCATTGGGATCAAACACTTTTCATCTTCTATCACTCTTTTCACTCTGATTCCTAAATGTCTTAGCCTTGCTACCATCCTTCTCTTAATCTCCATATAAGATAGCACCGGCCGACTAACCAGAGAAGTCTCTTCCAAGAATATTAAGCTTGAATCAAGCGGCATTGCATATAGAAAAGTTGGGTTTTTTGAATTGTTGGCTCGTAAATAAGGTTCATTTCCCAAATGGGAATCTCTCCAATCCATGAGAACCATCTTATCCAAGTCAAAAGGATGATTATCAACCACAGCCAAGATACCATGAGCAATCTGATATCCATGGTTCCTAGGTTTATCATACTCAACAAAACTGCTAGCGAAACCACTAGCATCAACAATTAAGCTTGCCTTGAGCTCACTACCATCGTCACACTCAATAGCAGACTCGAACTCCTGATGTTTCACTTGCCAAACCTTGGCTTTATGGAATTTAACTGAATTTGAGACGCAATTCTCCACTAACTTTGTCTTGAGTTTCTTCCTACAGACCCTACCATAAGGCCGATCCAAATACTTGGTTTTGTAATCATCAATATAGACACAAGTCATAGGCCATTTTTTGTCTAGACAATCCTCAAGTCCCAAGCTCTCAAACTCATCAACCCAGACTCCATAATTGTTAGGCCAAACAGAAAGTGGTGAAGGATCAACACAGCATACCTTGATTCCGTAGCGGGACACTTGTTCGGCGAGCCGGAGACCACCAGGACCAGTGCCAATAATGATCATATCAAAGCAAGGCCGTTCGGAAGAGTTAAACCAAGAAAGATCAAAATCTAGGCACTCAGGTTTCGACTCTGGTTTTAGGTCGAGGAAGTCACCAAACTTGCTACTGTTGATTGCATGATGAGCCTTTGTTGCTGTACTTAAATGGGGTTTTGCAGAAGAAAATGAAGCGGTGGATGAAGGGAAAAGTAGTGGATCCTTCCTGGTCGCAAAAGCTGATAAAAGTGGCCTAACAAGGGTTCCCATGTGTCGGAGGAGAAGGCGAGAGAAGTTGTTCTGCCAAGGATGTGAAGGGTACTGTAATTGATTGGAAAAGGAGTTAGGGGATACGGACAGAGAGGAATCCAGGGAAATCAAGGCTAAAAAGATGCTTCATTTCTAACAGGTTTTGGCGCAAGATTTAAATAAAAATAAATTGATGGTAATTCGACATTCCATTATGAAAAACTGCAACTTAGTCCACCAAACACGGAAGATCACTGAAGATGACTTAGGTTGTTGTCGGGAGATTTGGGTTCGTCACATTTTTACAGAAATTTAGCTGTCCATGTGAGAATATGGTTAGGCAAGTTGGAAACGGAAATTTAATGGTTGAGTTAGGCAAGTAGGACCCAGCCACTGATGTTTTTAATTCTTGGTTAAAGGCATTGGAACATTTTCGGGGCGGCAAAAAATCTATGCTTTTTCAGTTTTTTGTCGCATTCCTTAATGGTTCAGGTGGGCAAACAATTTGATTAAAAATCGATTAAATCAAATTAATTTAATTAATTAATTGATCATCGAAATCATTTTTAAAAATAACTTTCAATGATTTTTAATTTTTTATTAATTCGATTTTTAAAAAAATTGAATATTTAACCGAATTATTTGTCCCCTCTCTCCATATATTTTATTTTGCAATTTGCATTTTCACCATATTTTAACAGTTACCCCCCTTTATTTTTTCCTTGTGAACCTTTTTATTTACGATGAACGTATCAGTTTTGATGAATTTGTTGCCATGAATAAAGCCGGCACTGATTGGAGAAAGGCATCAAGGCAGCATTCAAGAGCCTGAGCCTTTACTTAATTAAAGATGGTTCTTTGCAGCTCCATGGTGTTGTTACTGGCCAAGCCGTTGTAGTTTAAGCTATGGGATCGACGACTTGGTTATGCTTTAAGCTTGCTAGATTTTTCTCACTCTTTGCTGTCGATAAATGATTCTAAACTAAAAACTAACAAATGAGCTATTAGAGGCAGATAGAATATTCTCTGATAATATTTTTGCAAATGCCATCTTTCGTTAGTTTTTTGATACATGAAGTGTGCATTAATCTGTTAAGAGTTGTACCTTAAGATTTATGAACTGTGCCTAAGAGTACAACTTAAATTAAAGCAGAAGTAGTCAATCAAGCTTGGCATGAAAAATTACATCATCTACTGTTAGAAGTTTAACACTTCATAACATCCATATGATATGTCTTAAAACCTAGTCAGCAACATAATACAAAAAGAAAAAATTTGACCCAACTTACTATCAACCTGCATTTCTACTAGCTATAATGCACAATATGTTCTGCAAGTAAGTGAATGAGAGAGGTCAAAGTTAATCAAGAACTTTAACGATTAAACACAGAGAGTAAAAGGGAAAGAAAAATATAAATACCCCTGAACTAAAATGATTGAACAGTTGCTTATGTGAAGTAGCAGACAATTTTATGAAATTGCAAATAGCAGTTTTAAAAACACTGAAAACAAATAATAGATACCAAATTCCATGCATTTACAGAACACAAATATGACCGGCAACGATGTAACGGCAACTCATTCTTCCAAGATAAATATCTAGGTGAGGTACAGCAACAGCTACGAAATATACAGATCTTTCTGGAATCTTGAGCAGTATAAACACTGTTTCCAAAAATGCCTCGAAACCTTGAACTAGAAACAAAGGAGCCCCCTTGGGACAAACTTGCACATATAATCTTGAAGATAAATGCATACCTCAGCAGAAATTTAAACCGGTAAGACTGCCACTCAGGATCTGCATGAAGGTAGAGTGATGCCTCCACAGCAAGCAGCAATTATTATGTACAGTAACAGTAAAATCAAGCAGGTCAACAGGGCCCTGTGCACATAGACATATAAGTTTCCCTAGTGGCATTGAACATGCACCTAAGATGTGAGCCATTTACTACTTTAATATCAAATTAAAATGGTTCATGTAATTAATTTGAGATGTTAGGATGATTTCTATTCACATGCATGGAAGATAAGAACGCAAGCTAACAGTACAATTTGACAAGTTTTTCAAGTCGGTAGTCTAAGAAAATGGACAAAATCAGTGACAACTCCACTGACATTATTCAAAACAAAAAAAATTCATGGATAATCAAAGATCAACGTGATGTTTTCCTCAATTTGTCCCATTATCCTTTTATTAGTGGACCTTCTACATAGAACACATATTAGAAGTATAGGAAGCTTGAACACATTGATCAAACCAAATTGAGAACAAATTGTACAATCTGAGGGGCAAAATAAATCCCCTAGGAATAAATAACTCTGGAAAGCATATTTGCATCTAGACATTCCTCTCTCTCTCTCTCTCTCTCTCTCTCTGTTGTGTTCATTATTCTGCAACTCTAAAACAATTAGGTTTTGCCTTTTGCTGTGTTGTATTTCCTTCTTTCTCTCACAATGGTTCCCTTCCTTGACACGGGAAGCCATCATTCATATTTTTGCTCCAAGATTATAGATGATGGAGGACTCATAAATTGGCTATTTGTCTATATTTCCATAAAATATAATAAGTGATAAAAAGACTTTGGATGTACTCACAAGAGTTTGGCATTTTTCATCCAAAGTGCTTGACGAAGGCGTTTAGACTGTTTCTTGAAGTGAAATGCACCATCTTGCATTGTCGCTGTTTTGTCAACAAGAAGCTCAATCCTGTCGCCTCTCTCTAGTATTTTCTCAATGTTTTCCACCATAATTGTACGTATCTGAAATATTAAATAAAAATCACAGATTCAGGGTACATTGATCATTTGATATGTTGCCATTCAATTAATAACAATGATGTCAATACAGACAATAACAATCACAAACATTTTTGGAATAGATGCTAAGCAATCCACAGCATTTTCTCTTAGAAAATAGCCAACACTAGTGATCACACTAGTATATTGTTTGTAAAGTTGAAAAACCTCCGCATTCCATCAGGGCTACAGATTCGAATATTCAGGACATTACACATAGATAACTATTGCCTAGGAAGTACACAGTCAAAAATAGGAACATAATTGAATTAGCATGATGAGCAAGTCACTTTGCAACAATAAAGCATCAATCAGCACATCATGATAGGCCCCAGATAAAAAAAAAAAAAATGAAACTCCGACAGATATACAGTAAATGAAGTTCCAGCAAATGCCAGATACTTGCCTCACCCACTTCACCTCTAACACGATTGAGAGTATCTGCACTAGGATTACTGGAGAAAAACTCCATTTGTTGATGCAACACCCGTGAGAACTCATCATTCATTGCATATGCTGGTGCATAATGAGCCACTCTGCCATAGTTTTTCATGAACCTCATGTGAATATCCTCCAAGTACGAAAATGGAATTCTCCCTGCATTGAACCACAATAATGAATAGTGACTCATAGATAATCATCTCTTTCTTCTACATTTTAGAATGAGGGAAAACAACCTATCCAGTAAGGAGACAAAGCTGTATAGAAATGACTATCCACATTTAACCATGAGCCGAAAAAAAAAAAAAAAAACACAATATCCATGATAAATTAGGCACCGAAAGTTAAGTAATCCAGTGCTATAAAACCGCTCACAAGCATGAGGTAAAAAACAATTGGACCATGATATAGAAAATATAAATAAAACAGAATAACATACTACATTATCTCTCCATTCCATATAAAAGGACTAAGAAAATTGCCCAAACAACAGCAAACAAAGGAGGGGGACAATTTTAAAGGAACATAGATTGGTTAAAGTTATCGTTAAGAGAATATTCCAACGTTAGTTTCAAATGGAAACTATCGACTATGTTAATTTTATTGAATGCGAAACCTAAGATGTTGGAAACAAATACAAGAGAATAGATGAATAAGTTTAGTAATTTTTAACAGTGAAAAAAACCAGTGTGAGACTAATATCTTCAAAAGTTAAAACTTTAAGGTCACTAGAATTGGTTTTTTTTTTCCTAAATTCATGTGACAATTATGATCCCTTACCTACTAATCAAGCAACAAAAATCAACACTCTCATGCCGATGAATTGCTACCAAATAAATCCTTGAGTTTTCCTAAATCCCATAAATTATTCTAAAACCAATGCTAAATTAAATGAAAATTAGCTTGGCAATTCTAAAATAAAGCAAGATATATGTACTAGAAAAGAAAATAAAATGAAGCGTACATTTCAAGTAACAGACTTTAAATCCCTAAACCCTAAAAGAAAGATTCATCTTTTTGACTACTTCAACTATCAACCTAAAGATTTAAACTCAAAACAAAGCTCGAAAAATGTAGAATTTCAGAAATAATGAAGAAAGAAATGTAAAATGAATTAAAAGAAACGTACTTCCAAAGGTATCGTTAGCCATACAGAGAAAACTAAGGCCATCGGATCTAAGTATATGAAAGATATAACGATCTTGCGAGAAGCAGAGTCTTGAATCAGCCGCTTCCGGAAGTTTCTCGAGGATCCGTCGTGCCACCGCCCCGGTGTTCCCTGTCACGGCGCTAAACTCAGCCAGAACCACCGTGCCTCGAGCCACCACTGCATAAAGAATCGCCATCGAGAATTTTTTTTTAATTTTATTTTTCCTTTTTTATTGGCTCCGAAGCTAATTGGATGGCGGAGGCGGCATCCAAGAGCGACTTGGCGATGTGTTGGGATGGGAGATTTTGAGGGGTTTGTCTTGAACTTTGCTCGGAAGTAGATCGAAACAGGGAATTTCGCCAACCGGAATTTTGGGGTTCGTTTGATGTTTGTATTGGCGTGAAGTCGACAGTTCTAACATTTTATTGTATTTTTTTCGATTTTTGATTTAGGGTTTTTTTTTTCTTTTTTAGTTTTTATAGACCTAATCACAAGGTTGGATCCGGTTTTAAACAAAAAATTTTAAAGTTTAAGGCTCACCTAAATGAGCCGAATCACATATTATAAATTATTTATTTATATATATATATTAAAAATAATAATTATATATTTTATTAAATTTAATATTTAATTTTAATTTTTACATATATAATTTTATTTTTAATTTTTATATATAAATTAAATATAATCTTATTAAATTTAATTAATTATTTTTTTTATTTTTTATTATATAAATTTAATTTAGTGAATATATTTTATATTTATTTTTTTAACTTAAATTGAGCTTTAAAAATTTTTTATATTCAAAATTTCAAATCGAATTGAATTTAATTAAATATATAAATTATTAATATCAAATATAAATTTAATTTAAATTTGATTTAATTAATAAATATTTTTAATTTAATATTTGATTCTATACTAAAAAAATAAACAATATTTTGAAAGAATTAAAAATTGTTTAGTTATTATCTACTATGAAACAATTAAGTTACAACTTGATACATGATATATCTAAAAAAAAAAGTTAACGTTGATATTACATTTTTATATTTTTATTTTCAAATAAGTATGATATTTTTTTATAAACTTTTTTTATTCAGAAAATAAAAACTATAATCAAGACAAATGTATCCATTATTGAACTTTTAATATTCATTGCAACAAAAGAAACCTCGCTAAAAATTTATATATTTCTCATAAATAAATTTTTTTTTCCTTGTTCAAGTTTGAATCTTAAAATGATCCTTTTCCTTAGTATTTTCTTTTTTTATAAAATTTATTCTCTTTGGCCCAAATTTTGATGGATAATGTGGATATAATGGATAATTAGTTACTAAAAAAAAATCACTTTCCACCCAAGTGGAACAATATTTACAACTCACGTAGACAAAAAAATATTACAATTAAGAGGAATTTAGGTAGTGCTATATTTTAAATACTACTTACATACAAATATATTTTTTTGTTACAAAAAAAAGATTAATACTCTTACAAGTAGAGACGGCAATCAAATCCGTCCCCGACGGGTTCTGAATTGACCCAATCCTATGGGGTCGGATTTTTTTTTTTTTTTGAATTTCGGGTTTAGGGTTGGATCGGATCGAGTATAGTTAGGGAACAGTTAGGGTCGAGTCGGATCGGGTTCGGGTATGCCTAAAATCCGACCTGATATTATATAAAAAATTATTTTTTAATTAATTATTTAATTATATATATATTTATATAATTATATTTTTAAAATATTTTAAAAATAATATTTTATATTTTAAAAAATAATATTTTATTAATTTCGGGTCGGATCGAGTTGGGATACGATTTACGTAATATCGGGTCGGATCGAGTTCGAATATTAAAAAAATCAGATAGGATCGAATTTGGATTTAATAAATCATAAAATCGAATCGAGTTCGATACGAGCAAAACCTGCTTCAAATCCGAGTCGATGCCATCTCTACTTACAAGGTGGAAGGGGGATGATAGGATTAAATTCACGCTTATATGATTTAAATCCATCGCTTAACTATTAGGTTAAGATAAAAAAATCACATACAAATATTTAACTCCTTATACATGTATTTATCTTTAGTTACAAAGTTACAACAAGGGGAATTGAAACCCATGATTATTCCCAAATGAACTTCCCTGATCACCCTTTGTTCCAACCCCATTTTGATCCGTGCAATTATCACAATCCGCCGTTGTAGTATCATGAATGCTAGACCTTCTCTTATCCTTTTTGTTAATCGAGTTCAACCGAAGAAAATACTTTTGGGCATGGCTTGCTACTTGAGTAGGCGTTCTTGAAACGACAGCGTTTCTTGATATGCTCCTCCAATCCCCTTTCCCATATTTTTGTAGTCCAATCAAAAAAAGTCTACACACCAAAAAAAAAAAAAATTACCATCTTCATGTTAATAAAATAAAATATTAAAAAAATTATTTTTATTAAAATTTTAAAATATATTAGTTTTATATGGCGTCTTCGTCTGTATTTATCTTTCTAGTGTAAATAATAAACAAAATTAAAACGTTGGGTGGGCTAAATTCTAACCTGTGTTCTTCTGCAGTCCAAGGAACACCTTTCCTTCTCTCGTTTTCTCTTTCCCTCTCCTTTCCTTTTGGTCCAGACCAAACCTGACAGTCACCCGATTCGTTAACCCAACTCATCGATTCAAGCTCACCCTCGTAACTCGGTAACTCGACTCGCCCTGCCTCAATCTCCATAACATCATGCTCCAAATCCTCGTAATGTTTCCTAACCTCCATTGCCGACTTCCCAGGAACTTGGGCAGCTATTTTTTCCCACCGGTCGGGCGATTCCTCGTCGGTGAACATAACCAACGCTCGCTCGAACAGCTTGTCTTGGTGCCAAGACCAGGACGACCCAAAATCGTTGTTGGTTCGGATCATAACTAAAGCCGTCCAAAGTTTTAGTTTAGTTTAGTTTGGTTTGAGAAATTTGAGGTTGTTGGATTAGGGTGTTTTATAAGACCGGATCTTTTTCAGTTTTGGATTACATTCACTTTCGGCTACCTCTGACTTAAAAGACTTCGACGAGATCATATTAAACACGTTTTGCCACTTTTTTTATTTCGCTTATTGCCAAGTGTCGGGTGGAATTACTTTTTTAATCAAAGGTTCTTTTTCGTTCCTCTCTAAAATAATTGCTTCAACTGCTTTCATTTCAGCGTTTGAGTTTGTGATTGTTAGAAAGAAGGCAATGGCAGAAAAGTTATAAAGTATTTATTGTTCTAATTTAGTAATGAGACTCTTCCTTATCTCTAGAGATTATGTTAAATTATTGTGAAAGGAAGAGATTCTAGATTCAATCTTATCGGATTAAGGAACAAGGCAAAATGAGACAAATGAATGATTCTTGTTGTTGAATCATCCTCTTTTCACTTATCCTTTTATACTAATAAAAAATTGGAAACTATATATATAATATATATATATTAAATTTTGAAATTTTATTTGATTGATTTATATAATTATTAGTAATATTTTAAAAAATTAGATATCAAATCATAATATGTGTAATTTTTTAAATTTTAAATTATGATTTCTTTACATCCAAAAAAATTATCCTAAAGATATTATGATAATTTAGGTATTTCATGTATAAAGATAAAGTTACTTTTATGAATACTCTCATTATTTTTTTTTATGAGATATCCATTTAATCATTAGAATATGTATAGATTTAGACTTTGTTTGTTTCGGTAAAAATAATTTTTGAAAAATATTTATATTTTTTAAATTTAAATAAAATTTTTGTTATTTGGATGAATTAATAGAAAATGTTTTCTATTGTTTAGTTGTTTTTTGAAAATTTTATTTTTTTCAAATAATATTAATATAATTATTAAAATATATTTATTATTAAAATATATTAAATTTATTTATTATTAAAATTATTATATATTTAAAAATAATTATAATTTAATAATAATACTTAATATTAAAATATTATGCTAATATAAAAATACTTAAAATAAAACTATTTATTATTTTTATATTATTTATTAATATATTATAATATTATTTATAAATAATATTTATTAATATATTTTTTATTAATATAATATTATTTATAAGTAAAATTATACTTAAAAATATCAATAAATAATTTCACTCATAAATAGTTCTTTTTTAAAAAATATTTTTTTAAATCTTTAAGATAATTTTTAAAAAATAATTTTATTTTTCGTTGATCAATTATTTTTTTATCAAATAAATACTTATTTCAAAAATTATTTTACAAAAATTATTTTTCACGAAATAAATAAAATTTTAATGAAGCCTTAATCATTTGAACGCATTCAAAATCATCAACTTCGCCCCCAAGCCTCTCTATCTTGCAAGTCTTTTTATTGAACATCAAGTAAATAACTACAACATTGGTACCTCAACATAAAATATTATTATTATTATTTTAAACAATAAAACTATTATAATTCAATGAAAAATGCATGTATTTTATTATTTGAAGAAAAACTGTATTGTATTATATCTTTTTATTTTTTTTTTTTCATATATTATCCATTTTCATTCATATAATCTTTGGCCCCTTTTTTTTTATTCAATTCCCCGTGTTCCTAAGCCATAGTTGTAAATAAAATCCTCTTATATTTTTTTAAATATGATAATCTAAAATATAATATGATGATATAATACGAATATGATATAATTATAAATTATAAAAATAATATAATTTAAAATTTTAGTAGTAATTATTTTTAAATTTTATAAAATAAAAAAATATTTTATATTTTTATATTAATATAAATTATAATATATAATTTTTATATAAAATATAATATAAATATAAAATTTTAATATTTTATATGATATAAATATTTAAATCATCAAATATATAATTTTCGAATTCCTAACACTTAATAATCACTCAAAACTCAAAAGCTCGACTAGCAGTTCGGATAAGTTATAATTTTGTGACCGTACGTCAAAGCCAGCAGTCTCTATTGTCTGCGCCCTTCACTTTATATTTAATTAATCAGTTGTTACATTAAAATATATAAAATCTCAACCAGGTTTCATTTTAATCATTACAAAATTGTTTTTTAATCATCCAAGATAAACGATTCATTTGATATTAAATTGTTGAAAACAACACAAATCATATTTTAATTAAATAATAATAATAATTTTTTTTTATGAATTGTATTGTTTGAACACTAAAATTTAAATGTTTAATCTAATAATAAATATATGCATCCTTGCTAGAAAATGTTAAATTGAATTCCTCTATTGAAATATACCATTATCTTATCTAAATATTTTAGATTGGAAAGGAAAATGATAGACGTGATAAACAAGATTTTTGTATAGAAAAAAAAGTTTTAAATGAATTATTTGGATAAAATTTAAGAATTGTTTTACTTTAAATAATTAAATAAAAATTAAAATAAAAAATCAAATTGATAAATTAAAATGTGTTGTTACATAGATCAAGAATACAAAATTCTAACAATTTTAATATATTTTGATATATTTTTGGATAAATATTTTTAATAAAAATTCTTATCAACATTAAAAAATTTTTTTACATATTTTTTTTAATTTTTTATTATACTTAATCGATTTATTATTTTGGTATTTTTATTTATTATTAAAGTTTTTTAGAAAATCCTCTTCAACAAGTAACTTCATAAATTTTACTAAAAAAATTCATTTAAGTTTTGACCTTCGTATAAAAGAACGTTTTGATTTCATCTTTAGTCGAAAGTATACTAGGGTATTAGGTTTGTAGTTTTTTTTTTTTTGTAATATAAAAAAATTTTAAGTATTAAAATTAAAATATCAAATTTATTATTTATTATATTTTTAAAAGTAATTGTTTGAATAAATTAAATTAAATTTTAAATTTTATTTATAATTTTGATAAATTAATCTCAATAACAAATAAATAATGTTTAAAGAGAAAAAAAATAATTCAATAATCTATTGGTCATATTTTTGTTGAGGTTATTTAATTAACGAGTTTTGAATTTTGATTTAATATATTGATAATTTAACATGTTAATGCATTTAGTTATTTATTTTATGATGTTGAGTCTAATTAATTTTAAGTTATGTTTATCTTTTATATAGTTTATTTATATCGTGAAATTGAGACTGGAAAGAGAGAAATCAGGAGCCATACTAAGTAACATGTAGAAGATATAAAATGTTGGCTTTTGCTGTCTGATTAGCAGTAGCTTTCTCTCTCTTCCTCCCCATTGCTTTTAGATTCTGCTTTGGAAAGGTTGCAAGAAAAATGGACAAACACAAGACCAAGGTAAGCTCTTTACTCGTTTTGTCTACCAAATTGCCATTACCAGCACAGCTTGGATTTCCTTTTTAATGGTTATATTTTGGGTTTGTTTAGACTGAAATAAATCTGGGTTTTTTTTTTTTTTAATTTTTATTTACAAGTGTTAAATGAGATGCTTTAGATCGATCTCATTTAGTTTCTATACTAGATGACTTTTAAATGTTCGTGTTTCATACTTTTGTGTGTTGTAGTTGTCCATGTAAAATTGTTTGAGTACCAAGCAGATTTAAGACAAAAAGAAAGGTTGGGACTCGGAAGTTGGAACCAATGAATCTAAGAAGATGAATTACTTTTGTTTGTGAAGTTAGTTCCTTTAGCAATTGCGGGAAGGTGTTCTTTGCCTGATGATCGTGTTGCTTGTTCCTCTCAATGGAAACAAAATGTGAACGCAGATGGGCAGCTGATGAATTCTTGGGTTTAATGTTGCATATTGGAATATTTAGTTGTTTTTGGTTGAAATTTGACTTATTGTTAAAATACTTGATTATTACTACGGAAACCCGTCTCTCCGATGTTTTAAAAAGGTAAAAGAAAAAAAAGTCTACAGGTTGTTGTCTTATCATCATGGAATGTTTCAATGTCAGGAATTTGTTCATCAGTCAAACAGAGTTGGCTTTGGTGAAATGTGATTCTGACTTTTGATCAATTCAGTGATGAAAAAGGTTTTGTATTAGGTTATATTTCCTGTCTTTTTTATGGTATCTTCTTAATCTATTTCAAACCATTCAGAATGGTTCGCATAGTATTCGGTCTTTTAAGGAGTTAAGGATCTGCGGTGGCTAAGAAGGACCTTTGAATAAGTTGTATTTAATATCATAAAGGCCAAATCTACTTAGGTGATGCCTTCTGTTGATTTGGACTTAAGGTATTTCCTTCTAATTGACTAAAAAGAAGTTATTTGGTGCATCTTTTTTTTTGGAGAATCTTATGGAGCATAAGAGATAAGAGACAACAGCTGATCACTTGCCTTAAAGTTTCTGTCAGCAAAGGTTGTTGGGAGTATAGACCAAATTACGTGAGCTTCTCGTGCACAAGAAAGAATGAAAATTTCAGATTTTTCAATGTTTAATATATTTCCAATTTAATTCACTTTCTCATTTTCTTTGACTTACAGGAGTTTTATCTGTTCTTGTGTATACTTTTTTTTTTGGTACAAAGGAGGTCGTAGCTTGGGAATAGGGCAAGGGATTGCAAGTGCTGGGATTTGAACCCTAGAGCTACTGGATGTCACCTCTTAAGGGTGACTGCATGAACCAATTGAGATAAGCTCTCATGTATACTTTTACAAAGTAGGAGAAGTAGTGGAATATGCTTTTACATAGTTTAAGAAGTACTGGAATGTAGGTGACCCCTCATTTTCTTTTGAAATGAACTCATTTTGCTGGTAGTATTGAGGACAAAGTCAAACTTATTATTTCTTTTCTCTCCCTGAGAAAAGTAGAAGCAGGGAGCGATGAGCATGAAGGTGTTAGTAATGGACTGCAAAAATATTAGAGTCCATGTTAACCTCATTCTGACAAAAGGAACATGCAACTACAGAAACTTATAGCCAGATTATATCGCCTTTTTTAGATAGACCATGTTGGGGGTGAAAAATCTTCAAAAATGAGCTTATGCAGGAAGTAGAGGTACCCCTCCATATGGTTTCAATGTTATGTCTAGAATGTTTCTAGAACTTTTAAAAGCTTGCCTGATGGTTTAGCTTTAGGTGGGTTGAGATGCGGAGCTGATGACATCAACATATAGATATATAGATATAAACAATTGTACACTATGCTGATTATGCAAATTGTGACATTTGCCTCTGTTATACATGTTGTTGGCCAGAATCTGCCAATGAGGAACAGTTCTTAAGCTATGAGTTTTATATAAGTCAAAGTGCATGAAGTTCAAGTGTCTGTTGCTGGATTTTAAGTGAGATGCCTAGACATAGTTATGTGGTTCAGTATACACCTGTCGATTTTCAGGTAAGAAACCATGTGGTTGAGTCTAGTATTTATCATTTTCTCTATTGCTTGATCATTGGTTAGCAGCAAGAGAAAAACATTCGAACCCATTAATAGATAGAAACCAATCTAGAGCAGTGCATGAAGAGATGGTGTTCGGGTGGGTAGTTTTGGTTGCTAAACGTCTCATTTTGTGGGCAAAAAACAAAGAAGATTTGATCCTACTATAAATTGAGGTGCCATTTTGAAATTATGGGCTGTGGTTCCATTTATTATTATATTTTTCTATGTTGCTTCAATCATTCATTTTCCTTAAAGTACCTATGTCCGATACATATCTAACTGGCATGGGTATGGAGGTTTGACCCTTCAAATATATGGAAAAACTTAGTAAAAATTGCATGTACCTGTGTTGGATACATACCCGCATTTGACACACACCCCCAAGTCTGAGTAACTATGTTATTTTTCTTAACGTGGAAAGGGTTATTATCATTGTCAAGGAGGAATACATATAAAATTATTAAACTGAGAGGAAAATAGGGGTGACTTAGGAGTTCCTGTCAACTTGTTTGACCTAGAATAATAAGCACTAAAATAGTGAAATCTTAAAAGGATATGATTTTGTGTTTTGTTTTTTATTTACACATGTCTATGCCATCCATGTTTTTTGGTTCTAGACTTTAATTCTTTTGATGGATACTTGATTGATACAGAAAATACTAAAAGATCCAGTATTAGAAAGTTGTATGGTCTGGCTTTGATTATTTCTCTTTGTTTTGGATAAGTGACTTTGATTATTTCATATTGATTAAGTTGATGCAAAATATAACAAATGAAGGAAAGAGAAAGTTGAGATACAAATCATGCAATGCAATGTGAAGGCTCCCACAGCCAGTTGACCTCAATGATGATCACAAATTTATGGGCAACTTGTCTGAGATGCAAAATATCCAGTAACCATACTTCAAAATTTCCTTGTCAAGCTGCACAAATTAATTTCCTACACAGATCTCCTTTTTTATTTTCTCATTTGCTAATTTTTGTTTCCCTCTTTACTGTCAAAGAGAAAAGAGTGGTCTTTTAGTTAAGGGCCAGGTCACATGTTGTGCCCTTACCACTAGTTTATTATTTGGAAATCTGGTTCTTGTCATGTTCTATTGACTCATTGCATATAATGGCTGAAATTTTGATAATCAGTAGGATATATCCCTTCTCCAAACAAAATAAAAAAAGGTGACCTCAGAAAATGAACATGCTAATTAAGATTAGGGATTCGATCAAGAGGAGTAAACTCATGAGATCATATCTACTTATGGTTATTTTGCCCTATATTTCAGTATGCTAGTTTCAAGAAATATTAAGTCCATGTTGGTTGAAAAGTCACCAAGAGCTCAGATATGACCAAGAGTGCAAATGCAAACCAATTAAATATTCATTGAGATATGATTTTAAGGTAGAAAATGTTTTTGGAAAGACCAAAAGATAGTAATTATAAGAATTTCTGTGAGGAAAGGAATTCCATGATAGGATACACTAACTTTAACTATTTGATAACAAAATGAATAAGGAGCTTTTTTTATAGAGAGATTGATGTTAGATTATAGGACAGATAAAATATGCTTTGACTAGGGATAAGGTTTTGTATCTAGCATTTTCATACGGTGCTTTTTCTTTTTATTAGCTATTGTTTGCGTGGTTGCTTTATATGCTTACTACTGATATGAAAGTTACAGTCGTAATTACTGATGAAACAAAAGCACTTCTATGAGGTTCATAACTCATTGATTGATATGTTAATGTTTGTTTATGTAAGATAAGGCATAAAGCATATGTTTCAAAGAAACCTGTTGGAAAGAAAACACGCACACCTGGGTGGTGACAGGCAGAGATAATTCCTTCAAAACTTCCTAATAGTTACTTGTTGCATCTTGTTGGGCTGTGAAAGGAGAGAACTTTTTGATTAAGCATACCCACTATTTAGCTCAAAATATGGCTGAGCCTATGAGCTTTGCATGCAATAAGGATACTACAACGGTTGTTTTTGTTATCCATTCTTCTAATGTCATTGTGTTGACAACACATCGATCTTTGCAGGTAAGTAAACCGTCAAAATGAAGCTTTTGCATGTTTAGGGGAAGAATGAAATTGTCTTCTGGATTTTAGACGATGTTAACAAACCAGGAAAACTTCTTGCTACTCTGATAACTTCTTCGATTGTCCCATGAAGAGCAGAGGTTAAAAGATTTGAAGAAAATGTCAGGCAGAATTCATTTTCAAACATGTTGAATTCAATACAATGAATCATGGTCTTTCCGTCCTATGTACATTCACAAAGTGAAATTCTTTGTTTACTTTTCTTTTTTTTTTTTTTTCTTCTTAAATCTAATCATTTCTGTTAATGACTTTCACATTTTTTTTAGTTTTCTTGGGTACATTAAATGGCGAGGGAACACTATTGAGTTAAGTGTGGATTGACTAAAGCATTGACTATTATTGCTTGTTGGATTAGTAACCATGGAAGTTTCGAGAATAATAATTTGTTTAAAACTTTTGTGAAGCTAATTTTGAAATTCCTGGATTGTCCTCTTGAAACAGCTTTGGTGATGAGCTGTCATCAATTCCACGGTGTAAAGTCTGACAAGGGAACTTGCGAAGAATTTTCAAGGTTAAGACCTCCTGACCTAGGATGATCCAAAATTCTTTCTGACTCTGTAATATCCTTTGAAAGATTTGAGTTGTTGATCTGAGGTTATTGATAATCTTAAATTCTTAATCGGTAGAAAAAAATCAACCATAAAACTTGAGTTGGGATGGTCTATCTTTTTATTTTATGGCTTCCTTGTGCTATTGTATTGATAAAAAAATAATGACTACCAGCAGAGCCTTTTCAATAAATTGATAAACTAGAACTATGTTGTAGAAGTTGGCTTCTGCTTATGAGATGGAGCGTGGATCATATTTTGTTGGGCAGGGTACTTCTGGTCTAGTCAGGCCTCTAGCTCAATTTTATCATCAATCTTGCTGCATATTGTACAGGAGTTTGATAGCCAGCATATAGCATCTGGTCTAGTTTTGATTCTTTAATCATGAATCTTGCTGCCTATTGTACAGTAGTTTGATAGCCAAAATATAGCATCTGGTCTAGCTTTGATTCTGTTGAAGCTAGTTTTCTCTTGTAATTCTGTTTTCTGTTAACTTCAGACTTAAAGCCTGGAATCCATGGTGATGGTATTCCATTTACAAAAGATAGCTGGAAATCTTTTTGTTATTTTTACATTGAATTTAGCTTACAAGATGGTATCAGAGGTCTGCACGAATATTTGATTATGACTAGTCCAATTCCCTGGTGGCGTACAGCCGTGCAGGATTGTGACTCAACATTAGTCGACAAAACTTTGGTTTAGATTTTTAGCGAGTCAATAAGCAGATAGAATGACTAAATTTTTTCTTGTTGACCTGATAACTACAATTTTCATTTTTGTCCTTTACTATTGTTAATTCTTTTTTAATGAATTGACTGTTGCTGTAGTAGTTTTTCTTCAGACTTTATCATATTCTAATGCTATGTTTATCGCTTTGTTTCAGTTATTTTGTTTGCTTGACTCTAGGTTATTCGATCCAGTGTTGAGTTTTACAATGAAAGCTCAGAAGAGGAATAATGGTGAGCACGTTTTCAAACTGAATAGAACCAAATAGCAGTGACACATATCTCTACAAAAACAGTAGGGTTTTTCACAAGCTTCAATTTCTCAAAAGAATTAATGCTATTTTACATTAAATGATCTCTTTAGATCTTGCTCATTTGCTATTATCTTCCCTTAACCTACAAGTGGGAAGAAAATCTGATACTAAAGTTTGGTTTTGCTTATGCTTTGTGGTACAATTCTATCATGCCTCATAAAGGGCTGGTTTCCTACCATTATTGTTTAATTCAGTCTAGTTCATTTATTCCCATTCTAGGTGAGCTTCTTCCAGATCATTAACCATCATCCAAATATCATCTTCATCGGCCACTGGGGGATCAGAGTGATCTCCTCCAGAATGTGAAGTACCTGAGGAGCTTGTTATCTCCATCATTGTGGCTCCCTCAAAAGATGTTGCAGCCCTGTTGTCATGAAGTTGTATCCCTCGTGATACAGGTTCTAGTGGGCGTCTATCAAATGCTCGGAAGCTGCCTGATACCACGTAGACTCGACACAAGCTGAATTCATGTCTCAGCTGCATTAAGAAATTGTAAACAAGTAAATGATGGTTAGAAATGGAAGAAGTTCATATCTAACTTCTAAGCCCGAAGAGCTATCCAACTATATATATGTGCACCTTAGGAGTAGTAGCAACAGCAGATGGGTTGGCTACTGCTTCTATGGCTCTATATTCATTCATCTTCCATTTGGTTTTCCTCCCTGAAGGAGCTTTTCCCTTATAAAAGACCATGGTTTTCTTCATTCCAATCACTCGGTCATCTGATGAGTAGACATAGCTGGGAGACCCTGTTGCTTTCCAGTATCCGGAAGCCGTAGTTCGGGTAGGTCTCCCTCCACGAGTTTCCCTCTCTTGTCTTGGTGTAAAGTAAAACCATTGCTCGGTGTCTCTTTTACAAAGCTCCCCAGCAAGCTCTGCAACATATCCAAAAGAAGAAAAAAAAAATTCAAAAGAGATTACTCACCGTAGCATTCTTTTCAAAACATTTTAAACAAATATATCATTCATGTTGTAATAAGCAGGGGAGAAAATTGTACGTGGAAGTTCCCATGGCTCTACATCGTAAATGTTGAGGACTGGTATAACAAGGTGCACATCTTGTCTCTTTCCTTCTAACTGGTTGCGTAGGTAGAATGAAACTAACTCTTCTTCTGTGGGAAAGAACCGAAAACCCGTCGCGACCTCCATTTACGGCAGCTATATATATGATGTTCCTGTCGTCTTTGAGGTTTTTGTTGTACTTTTTGTCCTTTATTCTTTTGATTCGAATGTAAATGCAGGAGATATAAATAGCCATGTACATGCAGGGAAAGGAACAAAAGAAGGGAGAGGTTTTACCGCGTGAAGTTGGAAAATTTGTGTTAGTTTCAGGATCGGTGGAAACTTCCACGCGGTTATGTCATGAAGATATTTGTACTATAATATTGCTTCACTTGTCTCAACCTAGACTTCAACCAACGAAATCTGACGTTGAAACAGTCAGCTTCACTTTTTCTTTCTTTATTATTATTATTATTATTATTATTATTTTGGTTTCCCTGTATATCTGCTGCGTGGAATCTTACCTACGCCCTTACTGCTGATCAATCTCCTCTGCCATCTGAATTATCATGCATCTTAATCAATGATTGATAGGATGACGTGGTCAACGTGTTACAAATTGCTGTGATAATCGGTTTTTCTTTGTGCCGTGGTAACTTGGTGGGAATTTGGCCTCTCTTTTGTCTATTGTTCAAATCAGTCCTCATCCAACTTTGTTCTGATGGCTAGAAATTATGAAATTTGTGTGCTACGCAATCTATGTGTTCATTTAATGCAAAAAGGATAAATTCCATTGGAGCCTCAAACTTCATTAAATGAATTTAATTCAGTCCTTCGACTTTGGTATTGAGCCCGCGAACTCTCTTATTTAATCTGACCTACTCTGATTAACAATGATGATAAGCACTATCTTCGTATTTTTTCAACATTTAAATTATTTTTGTATGCATAAATTCTCGGATATAACAATTGATGGACATAAATAAATTTATCACACATACCAAAATTATATTATGTGAACTTAAATAAAAGAAGAATGTCCTATAAATTGAGACGTAAACACAATTTGTATTGGTATTTTTAATAGAATATCTCCAAAAATTAAAAATAAAAAAAAATTCTTAAACAATTTTATATCGATAAAATTATTAAATTTATTGGTAATTTTTATATTTATTAAAAATGGGCATCCCAAAAAAAAAATAAAATTATGAACCCTCATTGATCAAGATACAATGTTGATATTTGCAAGATAAAGTTAACACTGGATTGACATTAATCGAATTAATTTGACAGATGTTTAAGTATTCAAATTGAGCTGAATAAAAGATGCGCTGTATCGTAGATTAAGAAGAAGTCGTAGTGGTTGATATCTCTCACCAACTCGTGCTGTGTTGGTGGAGTCCACAGGCCAAAGCTGTCCCTTTCAATTTGGGCGAAAAGCCAATATCTCTGGTATAGCAAGCTTATTATTAGTTTTTTAAAAGGAAGGGAAGACTTTTCTTGAAGGTCAGCATTGTGGCTAAATACATTTTAATGGTTTTTTTTTTTTTAATATTTATTGAGTATTGAACTACATATAAGGGTGGATAATCTTATCTTATATTAGAAATTTTTAGTATTTTTTTCGGATTTAAACTTAAAATCTTGAATTTATTAATTTTAATTTCTAATTATGGAAATATTCTTAAAGATATTATATATTATAATTTAATCTAACATTATCAATATCCGTTCATAAGCTAATTTTGAACAAGATTTTTTGAGTTTTTATAATGCTCGAAATATTAAGATATTAGTAAAAAATAATTTATTTTAATTTTAATTTAAAAATATATTAAAAAATTAAACTATTAATCTTTCAAAATTTTTTAATATTTTAATTTTTAAAAAATTTTTAAACTTCTTAAATTTGACAGATTAAGCTAAACTTTAAGTAAAGCCTTTATAAGATAAATTGATTCTAACTCGATCCATTTAATCCAACTTTTACTTTTAATTTCGATCCGATTTTAAAATGTATAAACTTGATTACATAATTTTATTCATTGTAAAAAAAATCTAATAATTTTAATTAACCTCATTTTTTTTTATTTATTAACATCAGTTGCATGGTCACCATAAACTTATTTTGAAGTAAATTAAAGGCAAAAGTGGAAACCAAAGCTTGCATCATATTTTCCATTTTCTTCTTCATAATTAACATTACAAGTCATGAAAAGAATGAAAGTCACACTGATCTGACCATGTGTGTAGAAAGTATTTTCTGTAACGTATAATTCTGGGTACCGATCATTAAAAAAAAAACCATAAATTTAATTTGAATAATCCTGTAACTTAAGTAACCAGCTTTGTTTTGAAATTAATGTTGACAATGGGAGTCAGCCCTGAAGAAACACGAAAGACAATGTCAATGAGCAAAAAGGGCATCTAAATGACACAACATTTTGGTGTAGTGGGGAGAAAAATGATTTACATATTTTAAACTTTTTCAAGTCCTAAGCATAGAACTTAATACAAAACATTTTTCTTTTTTCTTTTTCTTTTTTTTTTTTAATTTGGAATACAACGAGATGAACCTTCAACTACATAATAGAAAATATTTTTTTCATAATTAAGTTCTTCTTAATATGTTCATCTATTATTTAAATTCAAAATCTTTAATATAAAGTCTCAAATTTTAGATTTTTGGGTGTGGTTTCTCTTTGAAGATAAAAATTTCCTATTTTCTTTGGCTAAAGCATTAATGGTTCATTATGATTCCATTACTTTGATGTGATGGAATTCAATCTCCTTTTTTTTTTTTTTTATTTAAGTAAATAGTATGTGTCATCTTTAAATTTTGGATTAAATTTTATATTAATCTCTAAATTTTAAAAATGTTTAATTGAGTTCTTAATTATCTAAACGTGCATTAATATAATCTCTCCGTCCATTGAACCATCTAAATTAACAAAAAATCCAATGTGGCATGATACATGCTCTTACAAAGTTGCATTACATATAAGGTTAATATTTTGTTCTTAATTTTAAGCAAAAGAATTCTCGATTAAATGAGGAATTAAACAATTAGAAAGACAAACAACAAGCAATCAAAGACAAAAGCAATTAAGCACACATTAAACAATACATAGGGGAAGCAATTCGGCAACAGACATTCAAGCAATTCAACAACAAATTCAATTAGCCTCCAAATAGAAAATCCATCAAACACATACATCCCATAAGAAATCACCAATTAAAAAACCACCACCCAATCAATCTACAATCTCCAATTTAACAAAAACTCACAGCACCAGCAAGCAAACCTAAAATCATCTATACTCATAACCCACCAGTAACTACACCTGATGATTGATTATTAGCTAAACTAGTTTGTAGAAAATTAAGAGCTTTAACCTAGAAAACAGACCTTATTAAGATTAAATAAAAGCTGAATGCAGAAAGAGAGGCATTGCCAAAAAAAAGTTAGGTAGCAAAATTTTTCAGAGTCTAGTAGTTCTATTTCGATTTTCTAAATAGAAAAAAAGAGCCAAATTCATTGAGATTTGGGTTGTAACTGGGTCTTGGTAGGTGAAAAGAAAAAGGATTCGAAAGAAGTTTTTGGCATAAGCATAAAGACCAACGGTGGTCATTGATGAGATTGATGGTTAGTAATAAAAGTGATGGATGGCTTCATGGTGGTAGGCATTGGCTTTTAGGTTAGTATTGTTAATATTGATTAGGTTTGGAGAAAAGGGAATTTAGAGAGAGGTTAGATAGTAAAGGGAAGCTTAGAATGAAAATTAGAAGTTGCTGATTTTAAAGTTCTTTACTTCATACAAACAGTACCGTTTAGGGTTGAAAAGAAGATGCCACACCTATTCAACCCATATGAAAGGCTCGTAATACATCTGTCCTTGATAATAAAGTTACGCTTATGCTATGCTGGATTTTTTTGTCAATTTTAGATAGTATAATAGACGGATGGACTATATTAATACATGTTTGAGCAATTGATGACTCAATTAAAGCTTCTTAAAATATAGAGACCAATGTATAATTTGGCTTAAAATTTAAGGATCATGCATTTTATTTACTCATTTTTTTCGTTTAATTGCATATTGAAATGAATTTGGATAAGACTCTAACGATGCAATTAAAAGACAAAAATATAATTCTTCATTTAGTTAAATATTGGAGCAAAATGGATATAGAGATTCATTGAATTTTAGAGTAGTCAATTGTTTTAGTGTAAATTAAAAATAGAACATATTTTTTAATTATGATACAGTCAAATTTTTTTAATGGATTAGTCAACCATCATGTCAAATCTCACTACTTTTACATTTACTCATACATCTAAATACATATTTTATTGGGTTAAATATATATTTATTTCCTAAATTTTAAAACTTTTGTCATATTGGTACCTAAAGAATTTTTCTGTCACATAGGTACTTAAACTTTTAAATTGTTATCACAGTGATGCCTTGGATTAATGTCATTAATCAACTTTGCAGATATAATATCAATATCTATAAGATATTGATATGTGTAAAAAAAGTTTAGTCAGCATCATATCATCATTGCCACTTTAGCATAAAAAAATTTAAAAAAATCAAAAAATTTTAAAAGATTTTAAAAAAATTAAAAAAGTTCTAAAAAAATATTAAAACTTTTTTTAAAAATTCTAAAATTTTAAAATTTTTTTTAAATTCTAACAATTTTAAAAAACTCTAAAAAATTTTAAAAACTTCAAAAAATTTTAAAAACTATAAAAAATTCAAAACAATTCAAAATTTTTTTAAAATTATGAAAAAATTCTAAAAATATTTTTAAAAATTTTCTAATTTATAAAAAATTTTAATTTAAAATTATAAAAAATAAAAAATGTTTTAAATATTTGAAATTTTTTTTAAAATTTTTTAAATTTTTTTAAATTTGTAAAAAATTAAAAATATGATATATTTTTATAAATTATAAAAATTATTATAATTTGAAAAATGATAAAAATTTTAAAATTGTTTTAAAAAATAAAAAAATTAAAATTTATAAAAACTAAATTCTATAAATTTATAAAAATTTTATGAAAATTTTCAAGTTTCCTTAATTACTTTTGAATTTTTAAAAATTTTTAAAATTTTTTTAAAAATTTTATTGTTTTTAAAATTTAAATTTTATTTAGAATTTTTAAAATTTTTTCAAAAATTCTCATTTTAAACTTTTTTGAATTCTCTAAAATCTTTTGAAA